TTGATTGCTAAAATAAATAATTCATTTTCTAAGAACTGCTGGAACTGTAACAAGCACTTTGGACCCTTCTTTTATGTGTGTTGGCAGTTCTATAAAATCCAACATAGATAGTTCTCGAATTATGACCCCAACTGAGCTCAACATTTTTACTGATAAGTGAGACAGTTGTTAAGTGAATTTTGCCCCATTTTAGACCTTTCTTGCTACAGTTGTTAAGTTAGTAACATGATTGTTAAGTGAATATGGCTTCCCCATTGACTTTCCTTGTGAGGAACTGATCATGTGACTCTGGGACACTGCCATCATCATAAATATGAGACAGTTGCCTTGAATTTTGATCACATGACCATGGGTTCATCAATGGTCATAAGTGTGAAAATAGTCATAAATCACTTTTTCAGTGCTGTTTTAACTTCAGACGGGCATTAAACAAACTGTTGTAAGTTGAAGACTACCTGTATTGCAAAATAATAAAATGTAGGGATAGATGGGGAACTCATCAAATTTGCAGATGACACCAAGCTAGCAGGAATAGCCAACATTCCAGAAGATAGGCTCAAGATACAGAAGGATCTTGACAGACTTCAACATTGGGCACTATCTAACAAAATGAAATTCAATGGTGAAAAAAGCAAGGTTCTACATTTAGGCAAGAAAAACAAAATGCACAGGTACAGTATATGTGGCACCTTGCTCAATAGTAGTAACTGTGAGAGGGATCTTGGAGTCCTAGTGGACAACCATTTAAATATGAGCCAGCAGTGTCTAGCAGCTGCCAAAAAAGCCAACACAGTTCTAGGCTTCATAAACAGGGATAGAATCAAGATCACGTGAAGTATTAATACCACTTTATAATGCCTTGGTAAGGCCATACTTGGAATACTGCATCCAGTTTTGGTTGCCACAATGTAAAAAAGATGTGGAGACTCTAGAAAGAGTGCAGAGAACAGCAACAAAGATGATTAGGAGATCAAGGCTAAAAGAATGAAGAATGAAACCATATGAAGAATGGTTGCAAGAACTGGGTATGTCTAGTTTAAGAAGGACTAGGGGAGACATATCAGTGTTCCAATATCTCAGGGACTGCCACAAAGAAGAGGGAGTCAAGCTATTCTACAAAGCACCTGAGGATAGGACAAGAAACAATGAGTGGAAACTAATCAAGGAAAGAAGCAACTTAGAACTAAGGAGAAATTTCTTGACAGAACAATTAATCAGTGGAACAACTTGCCTCCAGAAGTTGTGAATGCTCCAACACTGGAAGTTTTTAAGAACATGTTGGATAACCATTTGTCTGAAGTGATGTAGGGTTTCCTGCCTAAGCAGGAGGTTGGACTAGTAGATCTCGAAGGTCCCTTCCAATTCTGTTATTCTATTCTAGACTGGAATAAATTTTAAAGCTGAAATCCCATTGCAGTCTGAAAGATTTGTATTGAATTTTACTAAACCATATATTAGCTTAATGTACTGATTGACACTGTATATGTTAAGGGCCTATGCCTCTTATAGGGAAAAGTGTTTGATTTCCCCTCTGGAAAAATGGCTAACTAATTGTGGATGTATGCCTTGATGTCTAGAATAACTTTGTATTTAAAACGTAAATTTGATGCTGAATGTAGTTTTAATTGGAAACCATTCTAAGAGCCGTGGTGGTTCAGTGGTTAGAGTGCAGTACTGCAGGCTACTTCTGCTAACTTTTAATTGCCAGTAGTTTGGTAGTTCAAGTCCCACCGGCTCAAGGTTGACTCAGTCTTCCATCGTTCCAAGGTCAGTAAAATGAGGACCCAGATTGCTGGGGGCATTATGCTGACTCTGTAAACCGGACTGTACTGTCCGAGAGGACAGTAAAGCACCGTGAAGCAATATATAAGTCTAAGTGCTATTGCTATAGCTGTTGCTATTCTTAGTCCACAATTTTATACATGAAATTGTGTCACATACAAAATGTGGGTGTTAGAGACCTCATTTTATTTATTTTTTGTATAGTTAATTGTATTGATGGACCGCATTATTCACTGTAGTTTTCTTTCAGCATCATGAGTAATGTTAACTAAATATTCTTCTCTTAATATGAGAGCATTTGACGGCTGTGGCCGGGAGGGCATTTTATCAGGTTCGCCTGATTCGCCAGTTGCGATCCAGATCCAGATCCCTTTCTGGATCGGGACTCGTTAAATACGATCACTCATGCCCTCGTCACTTTCTGCCTGGACTACTGTAGTGCTCTCTACATGGGGCTCCCCTTGAGGAGCACCCGGAGGCTCCAGCTGGTCCAGAATGCGGCCATGCAGGTGGTTATGGGAGCGACCTGGCGCTCCCCTGTGACCCCCCTCCTGCGCAAGCTGCACTGGCTCCCGGTGATCTTCCAGGTGCGCTTCAAGGTTTTGGTTACCACCTTTAGAGAGCTCCATGGCTTAGGACCGGGGTATCTATGAGACTGCCTTCTGCCACTAGTAGCCTCTCACCGACAAGTACGCTCCCATAGAGAGGGGCTTCTTAGGGTGCTGTAGGTCAAACAGTGTCGACTGGCTGCCCCCAGGGGGAGAGCCTTCTCTGTGGGGGCACCCGCCATCTGGAACGAGCTCCCCCCGGAGATACAGAGGATCCCGGATCTGCAAGCTTTCCGTCGCGCCCTCAAAACATGCTTATTCCAGCAGGCCAGCCTGGCCTAATCTCTCTTTTAAACTGTTTTAAATTTTTTAAATTTTATATTTGTCTTATAAATTTGGGGTGTTTTAAATTTTGTTTTCTGGGCCAAATTATTTAATTGTATTTTAATGGTTTTTTAACATTTGTATTATATGTATTTTATCTTTTGGCTGTTCACCGCCCTGAGTCCTTCGGGAGTAGGGCGGTAAACAAATTCAAATAATAATAATAATAATAATAATAATAATAATAATAATAATAATAATAAGTTAGCAAGAAACATGGATTTGGACTATAAAATGGTCATGAAATACCTGATAATACTGAGTTTCTAAGGATATAATAGTATATATTAACTATATGATATTTCAGATTTGTTGCTTGCCTGCCTATATTTCTTTCTATCTACTTGATTTCTTATTTGTACTATCTATTTCTTTCATTTTTTCAGAATAAATAATATAGGGAGAAAAAGGGAAACATTAATAAGTTTTCCTCCCTTGTTTCTCTTGTGTGATGAAAACTTCTTGGAAAATCTTTGTATAATTTTTTTCCCTTGTGACTAACACAGGGAGATTGTTGTTGTCTGGTGCCTTCAAGTCAGAGTTGACTCCTGGCAATTGCTTGGGCAAGTCCCTGAAGTTGTTTTTGCAAGTAATTTCAGAAGTAATTTGCCACTGCCTGCTTCCTGGGGGAGAGAGAGTGACTTGACCAAAGTCACCCAACTGGCTTTGTACCTAAAGCAGGACAGAACTCATAGTCTCCCGGTTTCTGGCTTTATGCTTGATTAAGTGCTTCCCAGATGTTTTTCCTTCGTTACCCAAAACTGCTGATCAGAAAGTCCCTATTTAAATATCCTGCTGGGTTTGTATGAGAAAGAAAAACCACCTTTACTCAATTTTGGGTAATTATCCATGTTTGGAAAGCACTGCCTTAACCACTACACCAGACTACCTCACTAACATAATATCAAAGGGTTTTTAAATTTTTTATTTGCTCTTCTGCCGTAATTTGATTTGCAATCCATGTAGAGCCATTTCCTGCTTGCACATAACTACAGAAAGTCCTTGGTTAACAATAATTGAACCAGTGACTATGTGAACTTACAATGGCACTGAGTGGTACTTGCAACTGGACCTCAAAGTTCCATCACCTCCAGGTCACATGATTATAATCTGGGCATTTGACAACCAGTTTACACTTAGAAAAGTTGCAGTGCCACCTGGTCATTTGATTATCATTTCTGACCTTCACTGTGGGCTCCCATACGCAAAGTCGGGTCACTCCGGTAAGTCACTTCTAATCTCCCCCACCTGGTAGCAGTGAACCCTAACTACACTTATGCCATGGTGGCCACTTCTGCAGTCTCACTGTCTGGCAGCAGTCATTTATCTGCCCACCAGCCTGCATGTGAGCTGCCTGGGACTTGCAGATTTCTGCAAGCTTCCTCATTGACTTTGCTTGTGAGAAGCTGGCAAGAGGTTCTCACTTAATGGCCCACAATCCTTGCTTAAGAAAGGTAAGCATCCTATTGAGACATCATATTATTTTGCAATTAAAATTCCAGTCTCGTATTTATCTGCCTTATTCCTTGTTGTTAAGGAAAGACTTACCGTATCTGTACAGCATAATCAGGCCTCAGAAACAAATTTTCTTTTCCTGATGGATCTCCATGATGCTTTAGTCAATTTGTACTCAGATCATGAGTGGATTACAGGCATAAATTTTCCGTGACTGGAGTACTATTAGTGTTCTAATACCATCCAAGAGCAACCTAAGAATGTATAAAATTGTGTAGATTTTGTCCTTTTTAAGCAAAGTTGGATGGCTGAAAACTTGAAGCTGAAACAAGGGAGAAAAAATGGAAAACAGTGAATTCCAGTTCTTCTTTAAGCCTGGAAACTGGCTGGGTGACATTGAGCCACTCATTCTCTCTCAGCCCAAGCCACATCAGAGGATTGTTGTGGGGGAGAAGTGGGGGTGGCAGGAAAGTTTGAACAGAAAATGTCATGCTAATAAAGTTTCCTGCTGATTCAAGAATGTATGAGTAACATTTCATCTCAATTGTGGGGAAAGACTTAAGGTCACTAAGTAAAATAAAAAACAGTTAAAATTGACACCTTGCATTCAAATGAATGGCTTTGAGAAACCAATATAAATCAATAAATAAAATGTTTCAGGTTCCCAGAAATTGATTTACACTACATAGATAAAGTGTAATTGTATCACTTTATTTATTTTTATACCATCTTTATTAATTTTATAAATAACTGAAGGCAACAAATATACATAATATTTCTTTTATTTTAAAAAAACCCTCATCAGGTATTTTGGATTCTGTTTCTGAACAGGACAGCTGGGAAATCATAGAAGGACTTCGCGGAGTCATGAGTTGCACCCAGGAACCCCAGAAGCAGGAAGGCTACTTGCTGAAAAAAAGGAAATGGCCTCTGAAAGGTTGGCATAAGGTGAGAATCGGCCAAATTGGTATTTGTTGCCAATGGCATTTAAAACATTTGCTTGCTGTCCTTTTTAAAGTTGGCAGAAAGAATATTGCAACTGTTTAAAAATACATTTTACTGCAGTATCTTGTCCCGTCTGATTAAAAAGTCTGCTTTTCTATTGCAGAGATGGTTCTTTCTGGACAAAGGAATTTTGAAATACGCTAAGAATCCAGCCGATGTAAGTACTTCAATATGCAGATGTTGTCATACAAATATGATGGTAGCTTCATAGTTTGGGAAAAGAAATAAGTGATTGTTTCCAATAGACATCAATAGGAAGAAAGATAATTCTGAAAACCAATATCTTATGTTGTTTTCTCCTAAGCCAAATTAAATAATTTTAAATGTTTTTTTTTTTTGCCAGATAGAGAAAGCGAAGTTGCATGGATGTATAGATGTTGGCCTTTCGGTGATGTCTGTGAAGAAATCGACTAAATGTATAGATTTAGATACTGAGGAACATATTTATCATTTGAAGGTAATCCTAGTTAAATAATAGGAACATATTCTGAAGCTAAAAATATTGTACAACTTTTAGATACCATTATATGCAGGCTTAGAATCCTCTTGAAGTTGCTTGATATAGTAATACATTTCTTTGCAGTTTGCTTAAAATGCAGGTTCACCATTTAATCTTGAATAGCCTTTTTCCTCCATATACATTCATATTTTGCAAAAGATACTGCAACCAAATAGAACCTTCATTGTAACAAAAAAAAAAAAGCAAAATTGTTTGTTAATAATGAATTGTGCCAGGGTCAATTTTTTCTCCATATGTAATAATTTAATTTGTTCCTGTGGAAGATGGTTGAGAAAAGCAGGTCTGGGAGAAAACAAGTGAGCATAGTTAATTAATATACTTGGAATGAAGTGTAACATAGTTACATCAATGTTTGTTTACTAAATTGCTTTAGGTAAAAATGTACATTTTGTGTAGTGTATTGTATCAGCAAATGAGAACTATATTAATCTATTTTTAATCCTGTTGGACAGAAGGAACCAGAAAACCCTGTCCTTTTCACCAGTAGGTGTACAAATAAAATAAATTAGGCTTCCACTACTGATAGTACTCTTTTTCTGTGGTTCTAAAAGGCCTGATGTGGTTTTAAATGCTCAGTTCTAGATTTCGTGGGTCTTCTGTTTTTATTTATAGATTGGGAGACTAGTTGAACTTTTAACAGTTTTTCGTGTGGTTCTCAGACTGATATTTGATGAAACCATAGACTGTATTTGGTAACCTTCATGGACAAAACAGACTCTTATTTCAACTATCCGCAAAGTGGGTATATTTTAGGAAGATTTTTTAAAATTAAATTTTGCATTGAAATCTTTGGTAGATTTCTGCATGTATATGATCAAACTTTAAAACTTTTTTCTACACTGGGGGGAAAAAAACCTCACTGGAAAGTATGGCTTTTTTAAAAAAAATTTGCTGACCTGATTGGTTACTCAATTTTTTTAAAAAACCTTCTGCCACCGAAAGCTAGTGAGAGACCAAACCTTTGAGCAACTTCCTATTCTTCATGACTTATACTTAATATCTTCTGCTCTTTGTGCTGTTGTTTACAAGTTCCAGGATTTGTTTGATTTGATAAATACTGTACATTTCTACTTCCAAGTGTCCTCTATCACCTACCCTGTAGGTTGAAAAACAGAACTGATTACAAGGACTTCATTAAGAAAGCAAATCTATTTCATCTGCTGCATAAAACTTCTGTTTTCTATATTCCCAAGGAGAAACGTTATCCTGTCCTCATGGAAAGCAGTCCAATCTGTCAACAAATATAGTACTTCGGGATAAATTATTGCTTATTGTTTTGACTGGGGAAAGTAAGACCATATAGCAATAGCAATAGCCCTTAGACTTATGTACCACTTCATAATGGTTTACAACCCTCTCTAAGCAGTTTACAGAATCAGCATTATATAAGTCCTCATTTTACTGATCTTGAAAGGATCGAACTCTTGGCAGTGAGCAGACTCAGACTGCAATATTGCATTCTAACCACTATACCACCACATAACATGAATTATATATTTATGTTGGGATTTAGTAATTATTGTTTCTATCATCTTCAATTCTCTACTAGGCAAAATCTCAGGAAGTATTTGATGAATGGGTAGCAAAACTGCGTCATCATAGAATGTATCGTCAAAATGAAATTTCCATGTTTCCATATGATATCAACAATCATTTCTTCTCAGCTTCAACATCTATTGCAGATTCAGTAACTGGTCTTTTGGAATCAACAGCAAACAAAAAGGTAGATTTTGTTTTAACTGTAGATTAAGGGACATTCATTTAAGGATTAATTTATTAGATTAATAATTATATGGAATACAACAAACATTTATAGTAGAATTTGGGGAACATATTTATTTATTTATTTATTTATTTATTTATTTATTTATTTATTTATCAAATTTCTATACCGCCCTACTCCCGAAGGACTCAGGGCGGTGAACAGCCAAGATAAAATACAGACAATACAAATATTAAAAATCCCTTAAAATTATTAAATATTTCGGCCGAAACACAGATTAAAACACCCAATTTATAAAATCACGAATTAAAAAATTTAAAATTTAAGAATTTAAAAGAGGGGAGTTAGGCCAGGCCAGCTTGCTGAAATAGAAAAGTTTTGAGAGCACGGCGAAACGTGCGCAGGTCCGGGATCTTCCGTATCTCTGGGGGGAGCTCGTTCCAGATGGTAGGTGCCCCCACAGAGAAGGCTCTCCCCCTGGGGGCCGCCAGTCGACACTGTTTGGCCGACGGCACCCTGAGGAGCCCCTCTCTATGGGAGCGTACCGGTCGGTGAGAGGCTATTGGTAGCAGAAGGCGGTCTCGTAGATACCCCGGTCCGATGCCATGGAGCGCTCTAAAGGTGGTAACCAAAACCTTGAAGCGCACCCGGAAGACCACCGGGAGCCAGTGCAGCTCGCGCAGGAGGGGGGGGTCACATGGGAGCATAACCACCCGCGCGGCCGCATTCTGGACCAGCTGGAGCCTCCGGGTGCTCCTCAAGGGGAGCCCCATGTAGAGAGCATTGCAGTAGTCCAAGCGGGAAGTGACAAGAGCATGAGTGACCGTATTTAACGAGTCCCGATCCAGAAAGGATGTTATATATAACATGTAGTGCATAAACTATTATAAAAATGTTATTGGCTTTTTGTGAGTTTTCAGGATTTGATGAAAGACAAAATGTAATTTCCTCCTGGCATTTTTAATTCTGTTTTAATTAGCATGGAAACTGTGGAACAAAGTAGGTTTTTGTTTTTAATCAGCATTCTTTTGCAAGGTCATCTATGTCAAGATAAACAAGACTGAACTCTTCCATGTTCTCCTGCCCACTTTAACTGATCATTGGCAGGGAGGGAATAAGATCATGACCTGAAATTTAAGATGCATTGTAATAAGAACTCTTTTCCTCTTGAATGTTCTGTGATGACATAGGTGTGCACTCTACATTGTTGATTTAACAGGCATGTTTATTGATATATTTTGAAGTACTCAAACTACCTCTATTTAGAGTTAGGGAAAGGGCCAAAGATACTGGCTCAGCTTCTGGCTTTTAGTATTTGATGTCTCTGTTTCTTTTCTTCCAATTTCATTCTTTTGCTTCCCTCACCAAGTAGATTCTGTCCCATGCTGGGTCTCAGTCTAAAGCAGTCTTCTCCAGAATGTGCTGTTCTATGCTTTAGGGGACTTCAGTCTCCTCTTGAACTAACCTGCTGACCTAGATGAAAACTGCTCAGCTCGTTTGGTATATATGATATATAGCAAATTGGGTAACATTTGTATTTTGAGCATGCAAAGATATTGCAGGTTTTTTTTGTTGTTTTTTTGATAATGTCTAAGAATTGAAGGCAATATTTAGTGAGCAATTGTCTTTTTGGTGTAAATTCATCCAGTCAACAGGTTAATACAGTATAGAGAGTGTCATACATATAATCTTAATTTTGGGCAAGCTTTTTTTTAATCAACTTTTTGAATATGAATGTAGACTTTGATGGTTGATTTTGAAGTGTCCCTTAATCATAAGTCACACACTGTCAATCATTGGAAAACTGATTATTGTCATATTTATTATTATTTATGAAATCTTATCATATAACAGAGAGGCAGCATGACACAGCAAAATTCAGTGCAGGCGGGAAGTCCTATGTCATTCCCTTGTTTAAACGAATCAAGAATTCCAACTTGTTTGCAGTCATCTGAAGATATGGAAAGATGTTCAAAAGGTAAAAAGAAAGTAGAACGATTTAAAAGATTTAAATATTCTACCTCTTCCAAATTTTCTCAGATGTTTTTATGACATATGCCTGTCTACTTTCTAATCTTTAAATCAAAAATTTAATCCATGTGATATTGAAATAAAAACTGCTGGTACAGTACCTGCTTGAAGAACTTGAATCTTAAAGAAAAATGGAGCAGTTGTGAAAGATGAGGAGACTTTCAGAAGAAACATATTTCTTTGTGTTCTTTCTGTATGAGAGTACAAGAGTCCTTTGTGAAAATTGGACTTTCTTAGAAGTATTAATGAAATATCATTCCTTATCTTTGTAAAATAGCTCTATTCTGCCTAGCTTGGAGCTGCTGTAATTGGTTCACAGGAAATCAAGTATCATGTGAAATTTATTTCCTTGGAAAAAAATACAAGTCCTTACCGCTTTTCAAACAAAATGTTCTTAGGAAACAAAACTGTACTATTGGAATGGGACCATCCTTTATTAAGCTTTTCTGTCTCTAACAATATATAATAATCCTATTACCTTTTTCCCAGGTGTTGATCAGTCACATATGCAGGATAACTTGAACTCTCTTTTCTCATTAGCAGTTTTGACTAGGAAATATTCTTCATTATATATTAAATGGGGATATAGGGAAGGGGGCCTTAATTACTTAGGAAATATTGAATGAAGGATTAGCTGTTACCGCTTAATTCAAATAAACTTTTTGTCTTGTGTATAGATATTTTTAATTTGTTCAGTTATGTCCAAATACCAGATTTATTCAATATTTATTGCCTAGGGAGATCATAGTTTACATTAAATATTACTGCATATTTTTGTAATAGAATATTAATAAGCATACTTTTACTCATAATTCTGATAGCTGATAGATAATTCACCAGAAAGCTGGTGAAACTATGTTGTTCATTTATGTTGGAATTTAGTAACAATTCTTTCTAGCATCTCTCTTTTTTTCTAGGGAGTTTGATAAATGGATAGCAGAGCTATGCCACCTGAGAATGTACAGAATGGCTTTGCAACATGTATTTGAAGTTACAATAAGTCCAGAAAAAGCTACTTATGACCCACTTTAGAAGTTTTGACATCTGGTTCTCCCACATGCAGATGACTTCATTTGGGTACTCAACAACTGGCCTACATTATTACTGGGATTTACAAGTAATAATGTGGGCCATTTAATTCTAGTTATACACCATAGCAAACAATGGTTCACTTTACAAGTCCCACATTTGCTTAACCACTGAGGGAAAGATCCTGTTGGGAACCACCCAGCCAGGCAGGAAGGAGGTCTCAAGTGGGGAATTAATCTCAAATCCTTGCATAGTCACAAGAGATCCAGAACTGAGCCTCTCTCTCCCAAGCTCCAATGAATCTTATCTATATTTTCTCAGGAAAAAACAGGAGAGATTATTATAGACAGAGTATAATAAAATAGTTAGTTTGAATTCTACACCTGGGGATCAGGTTGCTTGTGCCTGACAGGTGATCACTTTGTGACCATCATGACTTTACAGCCACAATTGCAGGTTAAATTACAGTTATAACTTGAAAACAATTTGTACAGTGAAGATAATTGGCATCATTGATTAATTGGCATCATTGTGCTAAAAATAAGCAATAATGCATTCATGTCAACTAAGTAAATTATTCTAAGTTTACAGTTTTTACAGTTTTAAGAACCAGAACTGTCTATTAACAATAAAAGTAACAGAGAACTGTGGGACACCCATAAATTATATCTGCTAAAGCTGTAAAATATTGAAAAAGTCTTTGTTCTTATTATATAATGCCCAAGGAAATAAAAAATATTATGTTCAAAGATGGCATTAAATTCTTTTTAAAAATTTCTTCAACAGTTTTAAAACACATATTTTAGGAAAGCATTATTTCAGATGCTATTGTCCAATAACTCTCTTTGTATTCTAGTTCATAGAATATTTATATTCTAAAATTTAGAATATAAAAAACTATATTCCACGTTTTCTTTTAAATAGTTGATTCAACTATTAAATCATTAATTCAATGGTAGAAATGGTAGTACAATAATAGCAAGTACTGAAATATTGAGTAACAACTTTTGCATTCTGTCACTATCTTATTCAAAAATAAAGTACAGCAAGACGTTTGATGGTTTAATACACTATTTTTCTTCTTCTTTGCTTTTTCTCTCTTCTTTTCCACCAAAGCAGTGAAAGACATTGTTTTTATTCCAAACAGACCTTTCCCATTGTCAGAACTATCTCTTGGAGATGAGCCAGCTTTTACAAAGCATGGAAGTTCTCCATAGGACATATTCGGCGCCTGCCATAAATATTCAGCAAGTAAGTTCAGGAAATTGCTGCTTCTGAAGGGGGTCACTCTGCTTGCTAAGGCTAGATTTCTTCCTAGAATGGTGATAAGTGGTACGTTTCTCTTTTTCACATGCTATTGTAAAGGGTCTCCTTTTTGAAAGTCCCAAAAAAGAAAAAAGAACACACAGACGATGGCGTTCTAGAGCTCTTGGTAAAGATGCTAAAGGGATGTTGCAGGTAAACCACCTCTTCTATACCTCAACTTCATTTTTAGTCTATGATAGATGCTGTTTGCTGCCAAAAACTTACTTTTTCCAATACAACTTATAGTCTTAGTTGCTTAGTAGGAAGATATTTCATTCTGCTTATGAAGGTAGCATGGAATGAGTGGGGCTTCTAAATTTTAATCAGCCTACTGAGCTTTTTGGCCAATTCACTTTTAACAAAGAATAAAGAGTTATTTCTTTATAAAGAAGCCTGCTTATAAGAATTTTATCTTTTAGAAGAATGTCAAATCCAAAGAGGGAGGGAGGGAGGGAGGGAGAGAGAGAGAGAGAGAGAAAGAAAAAGATTTAGAGAGGTGACCTATGTAGAGATTTAACAGTGTTACTTTTAATAGAAGGAGAATAGGTGTTTTCCAAATAATCTATTCTGGGAAGAGAAACTGCAGGGCAAAAGAGCCAAACAGAGACAGGTGTAATGGCCATCTTTGGCATTATTTCAGATATAACAGCAAGATTATTGTTTTGTTTCATTCATATGGGAGTTTATATACATCATTTTTGTTCATTGGTTAAGGCGTCATGCTAAAAACTGAGAAACTTTGAATTCTAGTGACACCTTAGGCACAAAGCCAGTTGGGTGACTTTGGGCCAGTCACTATCTCTCAGCCCTAGAAAGGAGGCAATGGCAAATATTGAAATACTGCCAAGAAAACTGCAAACATATCCAGGCAGTCTCTGAAAATTGGCACAACTGAATGGAAATATAAAAATAATTATAATGTACGTTCTTTGCAGGTACCAGCTGTTCTTTCTGCTCCACTAAGGCTGCATGCTTCAAATCCTAATTTATCTACATTAGATTATGGAGATGAAAAAATGTATTCAAATGGTTCTGAGGTGACATCAGAATTTTCTAAAATGCAAGAGGACTTGTGTCACATAGCTCACAAAGGTAATTGGGATTTGTCCCCAATAGAAAGATGGTGAAAACAATTTGTAGGTTCATGAAAATAAAACTTGATGAACACTGCATGCAATTTATGAATATCGAATGTTGGACTATTTATGGAGACTACAAGAGGTATTTTATAAATATTTCTCTTCATTTCCCCCCCCCCAGAAAATGGGAAGACGGTCTCATTTTGACTGTTGTTCTGAATGTAAGATTTTGGAATATTTTAACACATCAGACATTTGTTAAAACCTTTATCTAAACATCAACAGTAGGTTGCCTTAGGTTTACATGTATGAAGTCTCCAAGTGGCTTGCTGAATTTCAGCTGTAGCATTGGTGATGTAAAAGAGTTGCTATGAGAGTAAGCTATTTTAAGTAAAACAAAATAGAAAAAAATGTTGAGGAGCTCCAAGGCCAAGAAAAATGGCATTCATCATTTATTTATTTATAAAATAAATAAAGCAGTAACTTAACTATTGTTCCAGCAAAGTTTTTCCTATCTAAATTCATTTGATTGATTTTTCAGGGACTTTTTTTTTCCAAATGAGACTAGTATTTCTTTTATGCACAACTTTTAAGACATTAATCACAAGATTTGGGTTTGTTTGCTTGCTTAGTGTTCTTTGTCGTCATTGGGATGCATTGAATAGTTCTACATTTTGATCTACAAATTGCGTCATTTCTGTAATTTTTTTTAACTATTTTTGTAGTGTACTTTACCTTAAAGTCAGCTTTTAGTACGATTTCAACAGAAAGAGAGAAGCTGAAGCAGATGTTTGACCATGATTCAGTCGCATCTCCATCTGCTCAGATAATTGGACTGAAGAATGCCTTATCATCTGTAAGTTCCCACATTAATTGGGCTTGTGTTCAAAAATGTGGCTTATCATTTAATTCTTTTTGGTTTGATTTTTGCCTTCATTTAGTTTACTTGAAATGAACTGAGCTTTGATAAACACTTGTTCATTGGTTTCTATAACAAGCTGCGAATTGTGATTTTTCCAAGAGATGCCTAAATGTGATAGAAACTTTTGGAGAAGGCACAATGTGTGTCCTTATGCTGAACACACAGGCATCTATTTCATTTTTTGTGAAGTGGTACACTTAATGTGAATATGTTCTATCTCCATAATAATCTTATCTCCAAGTAGTGGGCTCATATTTCATCACAGAATTTCGTGAAGTTAATGATAAAAAAATATTTCCATTGCCCAGGATAATCTGTGCTTGTTAATCTCTCTCTTGTTGCTCAAACTATAACCTTGACTCCCAAAAGTAGACACAGAGGATTGTGGGAGCATATCTCCTCTCTTTTATACTGTATACTCGGCTTTTAAATTTATATAATAAAATATAAATTGATAGAATGAACTGGTTGTATCACTCTACCTGCAATAAGGCAATCTGATGTTTGCCTTCACCACCATTATTTTCATTCCCTAAATCTTAAGAAACATCTTGGAAAGCAATCCCTGATAGTCTGGCTAAATAAGGTGGAATAAAATCCCATCATTAACTTTGAGTTCATAAATCTTTGATATTTGAATGAAACCTAGCTACTAAGATAAACAAATTTCAAGAGGTCAGCTTGCAGGAGAACCCTTATGTGGTCACTTATTTGAGTCCCAAGCAAGATAAAATTGGCTTTGGACAATTTGCTTCTTAGATTGTTGATGATTAGTGATTGGGATCATCAACAGCAATCAGTTTTGAAAGGGAAAAAATGTATCAGTTGTCCTCCTAGTGTAAAACAAATGGTCCATATTTGAGCCTGAAACTGGAAGGAAATTGGGAGATGATGAATTGTCCTAAGTACAGACTTCCCCAAATATAGTTCCAAGATTGGAAGCATGGTGCAGAATAGAGTAGTGGAATAAATCATAACACTTGAAGTTGCAGTGCTTCCCACATACAAAGATACTTTTAAAGGGATAAAGGCTGTTGGTGAAGCTGTGATGCAATATATCATTAGTTATTTTAGAATCTATACTATATAAGAGTATTATGAAAAATGGTATTTTCCCTCATCATTTTGAAATAAGGCTCTATTTTCATCTGTCTGGAATTCCTTTATTTTTTCCCATTCTTCCATATCCATATGCAAAGTATGCCACATATTATTGTAAGATCAGATTATATTAATAATTTTAGAAGATGATTTTTGTATGTGTGAAAATAAAAAGCAATATTTAAATTGCACATCAAGATATGCTAAGATATAAACAACTGTAGAATGTTTAGAACGTATGTGCAGAATGATCTATATATTAATAATTATTATATCCTCCCCATTCATTTAGCTCTTAAATATTTTACAACCTTCAGCTCGTAGTTGCTATACTCTCTAAAGAACAATAATCCTGTTTTTTGCCTAGATTAGAGAATAAAAAAATAGGCTGGAGCTAAAATATTCTAATAGTTTATTCAGCTCTGATGGATGCACTCCTTTCAGTTGCTCTTATTTCCCTTAACTTCTTCCTTGCCTCAGTAAGCTGATTGTAGAAAGGTTCTTTTTCCAAGAGGCATCTCTTATCAGATAACTTCTTAGACCTAATTTACTACAGATCAGAAATTAGATGTCAACTTCTGAAGCATTCCTGACTTGCTCTCGAGTTGCCATAGGCAGGGGATGGGGAACCAAGGTTGGAACCCTGACATTAGAAATGTAATTTGAAGAAATTTGCTATTCCAGTTTAGGTCTGGAAGTAGAATTTATATTGTTTCATGATGCATTGCTGTTTTATGGGCTTGTGAGGTAGTGGTTCATATACCACAGCACCTTTTTTATTTGAGTTTTGTTTTTGTTTTGTTGTTGTTGTTGTTCTTTTAATTTGATTTATATGCCGCCCTTCTCCAGAGATTCAGGACAGCTTACAATGCGTTAAGCAATAGCCTTCATACTTTTGTATATTTATACAAAGTCTGCTTATTGCCCCCACAAACTGGGTCCTCATTTAACCTACCTTAGAAAGGATGGAAGGCTGAGTCAACCTTGAGCCTGGTGAGATTCGAATTTACAGTAATTGCAGACAGCTGGTGTTAATCACAGTGCTTTTAGTCTGCTTTTTGTTTTGCATTGCAGAATGCACAATACTTCATTTTATCAGTTGGTGATGCAAATCACCAAACAATTGTCCAACGTTTGGCAGACATTTTGATCGATTAAAGTTAAGCAGCTCAGGATATCCTAAAGAATTAGCTAAGAAAATGTGGGAATCAAATGTAGCTCATACATGTTTATGAAATGTGGACATTTTTCCTGGATTGGACAGGGACAAAGGAGGCACAATATCTAGTTTAAGTTTCTGAAGAAGAACAAAATATAATAAAAATAACTTAGAACAAAGCATAAAGTAGAGACGTACCTAATTTTCACAAAAGTTGGGAAATGAGGTATGTAGATTTCTTTTCGGACTTCACTCCATTTTCTCCTATGGTTTCATGTTGCATTAAAGCTTCTACCAAGGTACGTTATGACATTTTAATAATATTATTTATATGATTGAAGTTTTGCACTGCTTAGTTAAAAGGGGTAAAACATTGTACATATCCATCCAAGTTAACGAAATAGTACAAGCCACATGTAGTCCATTGGTGCAGCTTCACCAATGGTAAAAATCTCAACATTTGAGACATACCAAACAGAGCATCCTAATTCTTGATCTTTTGCGCCTCATAACCATCAGTTGGAACTGTTCACTCATGGTCTCATACTCAGGCCTGTGCCCTGACTGGAACGGGTACATATCATTTGTTTCCTCTAGAGCCCTTTTCAAAGAGTATAAGTAACTTGCTTTCTTTGCAGCACCCACTTTCCCACTGACTTTCCCCCCCCCCCCAAAAAAAAAAAAAAAAAAGGTTGGAAACCATTAAATTTGCCAGGTTGAGCAATGACTTTTTCAGGAAGGGGGAACTCTCCTTCCTGGAGGATTTCACTAATCAATAAGAAAATGAATCCAGGCTACACATGCAAAGTTGATATCATGGAGAACTTCGTCCATTTTCTCAGGATCAGCAGCTCTGAACTATCCCAGATAACTTTCAGAGAAGTAGCCTATGTTACCTCTCTAGAACTGCTCTGCTAGCATCAAAGGCTGAATGAATTTGAGTGATTCATACAGCTCACAGATTCTTCACAATTTTTAAATAAATGTTGTTCCAGTTTAGCCTTCTGTAACAATAATTCTGAGTTGAATAGATCTCTCTGAATATAAAATAGATTTCTTAAGTTCCAAACTGGTATTCAAAAGTTGCTCCTGATTCTGGTTGGGGTTGTTTTGTAATAAGTATGTCTTATAAACTCATTCCTAATTTATCTGATACCCTTTGAAAATTTCCAAGTCAAAGATCACCACTACATCATATGAAAATGAATTCATTAGTTTAACAGAGTAATATATGAAACTTTTTTTTCTGTTTCCTATTATTCAACATTATTAGTAGGCTGTACTTTATATAATTATGACTGATGGAGAAAATGTGACCCTCAAATAGAGTGGATATATTTGGATATTGGCAATGGAAATACTTTCAGAGTACCTACATCAATTTAGGTCCTTTATTTATCTGCTGTCAGGATTAAATTTTTAACTCCTTCTATTTTCTTCATTTTCTTATTTATTTAATAGTTATATCAATTTATACAGTAGTAATTCTGGCTGGCAAACAGATTTTAAATCAAAGAACAGAACCAAATGATAGACGACAATATACCTATCCATCTACCTGTCTATCATGCTACATTTGATACATGTATTGACAGTGATATTCTGAATAATTAAAACTTTCCAAAACTGTATTCATGGTAACTTGCTATTTAATGCATTGAAGCTTATTCCCAGATAAATGGATATACAGTAACATTGCAGTATCATTTCTTTTGACATGAAAGATAATTAACAAAGTCCCAAGTGGTTACTCATAGTTGTCTTAAAAATTACATTCTGCTTGAAGAAATCATGCAACACCCACTTGCTGAGGAGACTTGTTTGATCTTGCCCTGCTTAGTCATATAGCGATTAATGTCAGTTATTACCAAATGCATGTGCATTTCCTGTCTTTTGCTTATGTTGTAGTTAATGCACCACACTGCTGCTACTATAGGATAGAAGCAAGCTTGGTTTGCATGTGTTGAACCTACTTTCTTGAATCAGCTAGTGGTTTTCATAATTTTTGCCTAATAGAAGTGAAAATTCATCTTGTGGTGGCATTTTCATCTAGCAGTGATTATTTTCTAACATAAATCAAAGTCAGAAGAATGTTTGCTGTCTATGGAGGAAAGAGAAATGGATATTCACACCCAGTTAGTGTTGATGGCAGCATTCATTAAATGGAATGGGGAGGCATTTGGAAGATAATTAGCACATATACTTTCTAACTCGTTAGTCATACTTTTTCTAAAAATTACATTCCCGGAATATAGTAAAAAAAAAAAAAAAAGCCAAGGATCTGTCAAGAATATAAGAAACCTGCCATATACTGTTTTTAAAAATGGAAGAATTAGTATCCATAAATTCTGAATAATCATATTTAAAACCATTTTTGCTTACATCTGTCACCTATGTATTCTTGGAAACTTAATAACTCTCAAGTGCATGTGATGTTAAATGTGTAAGGTCAGATGTGTGTTTTTCATTAAATCAGATTTAGAAGACAAGGATGGTAGAACCTCAAAGAAAGATTAAACTTTTCCTTCATCTGTTCATTAAAAAGTAACTCATCTCTGGCTTCTGACTACATTTTTTTAAAAAACCGTTTATATCAATACATTGATAAATTCAGTATCATGATAGAAAAATAGTAAGTCTTTCATCACTAGATGCTGTGGTCCTGTACCAAATCATTTCCCAATAAGCTGGCAGTGTATTATGCCACAGATTTAATACCATCTTCACTTACCTTCTCAAGTTGCCTGACTGCAGTTCATACTCCTTGAAAATTTACCATCATGAAGACTCTATAGCACAAGTTCATCCCAGAGTCAACCCCATCTTTGCTTTCTGAGCTGTTGCTTTGTAAAAGTTGCTTTTCAGTTGCTATACAGCTCTTACTACTTAAATATTACCCTTTCTTTTAGAGGGAAAAAAGGAAAAATTATTTGGCCTCAAATACTCTTAGCATTCCATTTTGTCTTCTCTTTTTTTAATACCAGAGAGACAACTATTTGTAATTAGCTGAGACACTATGATGGCCCAAATGTACTTTATTTTTTCTCTTAAATGTTCCAGGCCATAGCACAAAACACAGATCTTAAAGAACGGTTATGCAGAATACATGCCGAATCTATGCTCCTTGATTCAGCTGCTAATGCAAATTCAAGCCCTGATTTTGTAAAGGTGGGTATAGATTTCCTGTCTTTTTGCAAAGCTCCTTGTTGCATCTCCTCCATTCAGTTGGTCATTGTCTTGCCATAATGAATCTTCTCATCACATAGTATGGCCACCCAAACAATAACATCAGCTTTTGCCATTCTTCGTAGTGTTGCTGAACAGTTTGTATATTCCATGTTTTAGTTTTTTATATATCAAATTCTTCTATACAACTTTTGCACTTCAAATAATTGTCAGAAACTAATTTGCCTTTGTAAACAGAACCTTTTAATTCAGTCTGTGGAAAAATAACTCTGTAGAAAACCCATCAAGATAAGGATTATCATACTCAGATTGATAAAAGGAGCTTTTTTGGGGGAGAGGGGGAAGAGCTTTCTTAGGCTAAGGCTAAGGTTTCCTGATCTGCAGGAAACAAGATAGTCAGTTATAATGTTAGAATGGGCAAGGAAGCAAGCAATTTCATTTCTTTTGTTTGAGGGAATGCTATTGCTTTTGAGTTTTGAAGAGTGTAAGGCAGGGGTGTCAAACTCAAGGCCTGTAGGCCGGATCTGGCCCTGAAAACAGTGAAAGTCCGGCCAAGGATGCCTCTGCCAGTGAAAATGGAACTCGGATGGGCTCCGTTTTAGCTGGCAGAGGGCTGCAGAAGACCATTGCGACTGAAAACAGAGCTTGTGAGAGCTGCATGCGCCCCCCCCCCCTCCATATCCATTTTCATTGGCAGAGGTTTACAGGAGGCCGTCACAGCCAAAAGCAGAGCATGGGAGCCCGTTTTCGCTGGCAGAGCTTTCGGGCCACAGATATCCCCAACATGACTGATGTCAAGGTGGCTGCGCCCATCCTGGCCTCGCCCACCCCGGCCCCCCAAAGTCAAACACAACCCTGATGCAGCCCTCAGTGGTATCAAATTTGACACCCCTGGTCTAAGGCATACATCTTCCAATATGGAAAATCTCTGATTTGAGGCAACAGGGATTAAAGGGGTGTTTTGATGTCTTTACAATATTTAAAACATTTATATTGACTATAAAAATGAAAATGTTCCGCCCCCAACAACTACAGCAGGGGCTCTAGTATTGTAATGAAATGTTTACAGTCAGGGAACTGCAGGTTGCTTAGCCTGATCAAATTCAAAATGCCCATCCTGCTGGAGCATAAACCATCTCTGCACAAATAGGGTGGCTAGAAATGTTTACCTTAAGAAAAGAAAATGCATCACTGAAAAGGACAACAGAGGGCCCAGATTTGCACATGGTGATTTATATTTGCAAATCCAGACTTAGAAATTATGAAATTAATTCTTTCCAGTATATCAACATACTGGGAAAAATGATGAACTAATGTGAGGTGTGCTTACCCACTCAGCTGGCTGGATGCTTTTGTTGAGGCAATGTCAAGGTTCGTACTGTTTCCTTCCCATTTTTATTTACTTACAAAGTTTAGTGTAATTATTCATAAGCGGCTGTGAAATGGGAAAGGCGAGACATATCCTTTCTTGAAAGAGGTCTGTGCAAGAGAACAGTCTCTGGCTATTTCATAGCCATATAGGCTAGTTATCTGCTGTTTTTATTTTTTAAAAAAACTGGGATAATTAGGTTGATTCTGTTAACGTTTTCCTTTTTATTATGTATTTTAATAAGTTATCTAATTTTCCAATCCTCCCGTTTGTGTCTCTCTCTGTAGCCTTTATAGGCCATTCCAATCTACAGACTTCTCAAATATGTAATTTAGGATTAAAAGTATATATTAAACGTTTAAAACTAAAACCATACAGTAGGTCTTAATATAATAATCTTACTGATACCTTCTAAGAATTCAGAGTTACAAATACACAGACTAATAAGTACTGGGGATAAGTATGTGGTTAATTTCGTTTTATGGGTTAATACAATTTTCCAGTTGCCTGGGACTGCTGATTTTATCTTCTTTTCCGTCAGAGAAAAAAAGATGTAAGACCTTAGAAATTGCTAAATCCAAACTTTATATTTTGGTAACATCTTTTGGTAACATCTTTTTTGTTTTGGCATTACTTTGATCTATTTGGATATATTATTGATACTGAATTTGCTTACAGTGAGTCTAATAATAATAATAGTAACTATATTGAAATTATAAAAAGATATTACTTTTGCAAAGTCAAAGTCATGGAGAGAAGTGTTCCTAATGGATTTCACATAAATCAATATCTTTACTGCAAATAATATGTATATTAATCAAATCCTGAATATTAAACAACTAAATTATCAGAAAAAGGAGCATAATTGACAAGCTTCAGAGGACAGATTAAATTAGCTAATTATGCTTTTCTCTTTGATCAAAAAGTCAGCAAAATATATTTCGTCTAACAAATTCCTAAGGAATCTTTAACTAGAAAGGTAAGTGTCTACAAAATAAAAACCAGATATTTTCATGACAGGAAAAGAGGCTCACCTGCAAATGTTCTTTATTCTCCTGTTGTCAGTTTCCTTGAATGTCAGCTGTTCTTGCTGGGGGGATTTGGTGTTAGGAGCAGGAATCAGAAAGCCAAGACCCATAAGCTGCATCTCTTGCTTTTGTGATCACAGAAGCCTTCAACATCAAGCTCCAAAATTTGAAATATATCAAATGAAAATGTTTATGAAAAAGATAAATTCATATATGTTCACAAAAATGAACTAGGTGGGGGGGGGAATGTGGTGGCAATTTCATTCCTGTTCCTTTTGGTGACAATCTTTTACTGCACTGAGATCTTGGGTCACTTGAAAATGTAGAAATTAATAAAGATGTGCTATTTGACACAAAAAAATGAACGTTCTTTAACTGGACACATGCGGTCGCAGATCAAATGAAAACTGTCTTTAGGCTTCTCTATGTCGATAACTATATCAATTTAGTATTATGAGAAACTATTTTGTGATGAAAAATATCAGACAGAAATAAATTAACACCTGCCTCAGTATTTTTCTCTTGCTGAACTCAAATGCTTTACAATCTTGAGAGGTTTTGAGTATGCAGAAATTGACTAATTTCTCAAATACTCAAATGATAAATATAGCAATGGCATTGTAAGGCAATGCAAAGATTGAGATGAAAGGACAGAAAATAATTGGTCATTATATTCAGCATTTCTATTTGACCTTGTCAGTTTCTTTATTACCCCTGTCCTTTTTTATATGTTAGCTTCTTACAATGCACTGTACTTCACAGTTTTGTTTTGTTTTGTTTTGCTGTTAATTTGCTTAGATGGACTTTCTGACTCTCCATCCAACAAGGATTTTGCCACCTCTTTGCCTTAACTTCTACCTATCCATCACTGCATGCAGTGATGTTGATAGGTCATTTGTTCCATGTTGTGTGAAAACACATAACTAATGTTAGTTCCTTTAAACAGCTTATAATGGTTTCTACAAGCAAAGTAAAACACCCATCTATCTTTCCTGACTCAAACAATGGAAGATCCTAGCTTTGCAAATCTGCTCTCTGTGCATCATTATCCAGCTCACATTAGCTTTTTCCTTTCCCTTGGGAGTATCGCTCTGAGACTAAATGTTTGTCCCCCCTTCCATCCTGGGTGGCCAAATCTACATCATTCCTGTTATATATAGGAAAAAGCACCGTTGTATTTCAGAAAATAGTATTTTAGTAGGGAGCTTCAGCAATTACATACATACTTAGCTGACTATGTCAGCCTCACAGTGATCTCTGTATTAAAATCAGCATGCTTGCTGAAGGATTTTGTAATCTGTAACTATCTAGTATCATTTTGTGGAGGGGGGGGGCTTAGTTAAGGAGCTCTTGACTCCCACCCTGAAATTCAGCTTTAACTGCCACTAGAAGGCAAGGTATTTAAGAAAAGTGTTAGATATAAAAAATTCTTATGGTTTCATGTTTGCCTACCTCAGGTAATTTGAGCAGGCATCCTTCAAAAAGCCTGATCAAGCAGGCTTTTATATAGGTAGTTCTTGACTTACAACCATTTGTTTAATGAACTTTCAAAGCTGCAACAACATTTTTAAAAAGTGACTTATAACCATTTTCAGATTTACAGCACTTACAACATCCCCATGGTCATGTGATTAAAATTCAGATGTATGGCAGCTGGTTCATATTTATAACGTTACCATCAGTGGTGGGGTTCTAGGCAGCTCGGCCGAACCGTTTGTTAAATTGCTGGCTCGCCCCGCCCCTTGCCAATAAATAGTGGTGGGCGGGGCGGGGCGAGGGGCGGGCGAGCCAGTAATTTAACAAATGGTTCGGTGTTTTTTGTAATTTATTGGCCTCACAGCACACTGAACCGTTTGTTAAATTGCTGGCTCGCTCGCCCCGCCCCACCCCCCACCCACACGGCACCAACCTACAGGGGTGGGCAATTGTGGCTCTTTTACAACCTGTGGACTTCAACTCCCAGAATTCCTGAGACAGTTTGGCTGGGAGATGCATGACTTTTCTCCGCCCCAGAACATTGGCTGCCCAGGCTGCAGCCGAAGCTCCACATCGTAATGGGCTCCAGGTGGAGGAGGGGCGCTGTCTGCCCCATTGCGAAGCTCAGTAAGAGCAACAAGAGCCAGCTGCAGGCACAGCCGGGCGGGCGCACGCACAGTGGGATGCAGGCTTAAGGTGCCGCCTCCAAGCCGAGGAGCGACCCGATGGTGCAGTAGGGTCACTGCCGCCGCCGCCCAGACGGTAGAGGAGAAAGAGATGGAGAGAAAGAGAGTTGAAGGAGAGAAAGGGGGGGGGAGAAAGAGAGATGGAGAGGAAGAATGGGGGGGAGAAAGAGATGGAGAGAAAGGGGGAGGAAAGAGAGATGGAGAGGAAGAGAGATGAAGGAGAGAAAGGGGGGAGAGAAAGAAACAGATGAGAGAGATGAAAGAGACACACAGAGATACCTCTTTAAAAGAAAATACTGGGAGCCACAAAACCTGGGTTGGGAGTAAGTGATATGGAGTTGGCAGTGCCCACCCAGATTTAAGATTGTGTTTAAATGTTTACATGTGTTTAAGATTGAGTGTTTAAAGTTCCAGACCCCTGACCTACCCCATCCGATCACTTCACCCTGCAGCCAGCCCTCTAGGCCTGCTCCTGCCGCCCACCTGGGCAGCAGCGGCCTGTCTACCCCGATTGTATCACCTTGTCCTGCAGCCAGCCTGAATGCCCACCTCGGACTGCCTCTGACCGCTCCAGCAGGTCATTTTTATTTAATTAATTTAATTAAGAATGCTGCAATGGGCATAAATGATGACCGGTTCAAAAGTGCGAGGACCTGTCAGAAATAACTTTTTTCAGCCCTCTGGGTAATTCCTATGTGCATACCGATTACTCAGAGGGCTGAAAAAGTTATTTTTGACCGGTCCTCGCACTTTTGACCAGTCCTTGAACTTAACGACTGTCCTCACATTTTATGTTTTGGGCCCTATCTTGTCACCGTGGTGAAGAGAAGTAGTGGTGAAATGACTGACACGGTTGTTAAGAATGCCGCAACGGGCATAAATGTGAGGATGGTCATAAATGCTAGAACCAGTCAAAAGTGCGAGGACCAGTCAGAAATGACTTTTTTCAATCCTCTGAGTAGTTCCTATGCACATAGCCAAGCCTACCCGGTCACATGACCAACTAGCCACGCCCACCCAGACACATGACCAACTAGCCACACTCCCAACTAAGCCACGCCCACAGAACCGGTTGTTAAAAAAATTGAATCCCACCACTGGTTACAGTGTCCTGGGATCATCTGATCACCTTTTGCGACTTTCTGACAAGCAAAGTCAATGCTTGTCAGATTCACTTAACAATCATGTTACTAACAGCTTCAGTGATTTATTTAACAAGTCTGGCAAGAAATGGGACAAAACTCATTTAACAACTAACTGTCTTGTTTAAGGAACAAAATATTTGGGCTCAATTGTAGTCATAAGTCAAGGGCTACCTGTATAGCCACATGTATTTAAAGAATATACATTCTCTGCTGTAGTGCCTGACCTCTGTGATAGCATGTCCCAGATGACCCAAAATGTTATTCCAAATAGTGTTGAAAGCCAGATGTGGGCAGACTGTGGTATGAGCTCTTGTAAAACTTTGTATTCTATTTGATATGGTTTTCTGTTTTTCATTTTCATTGTACTACCGGTAACAGTTTACTATGTAAAGGGCCCAGAATCAGTTGTAGTCAAATATTCTTTTAAATATATTTTAATAATAAATAAACTATTGCTCATGACTGTTTTTAATTTATTTTTTTTTGCAGGAAAATTCTGAACATCAAAACAGGAGTCTGGTTCACCAAATATCCAATGAAAGCAGACTATCAATAACAGATTCCCTCACCGAATTTTTTGATGCACAGGAAGTTCTGCTGTCTGCCAGTTCTTCAGAAAATGAGGTCTGGAAAGTAGCTCAGAAACACTGGATTTGTTTCAAAATCATGTAATCTTTATTATCTTTGCAGTCTCAGTGGCAACACCATGCACATTATTTCAGCACGCAAAACTTATTTACAGATACTTTCTAAAATATTTTAAGAGAATAGGGAACTGAAGGAATGAATACAAGATGTACTGCTTAAATGAAGATATTACTTTGCTTTTCTTAGGAAGAAATATTTAATTAACACAAATTTGAATATTATTTCCATTTAGAACTGGCCATGTAGTAAGATTTCCCATAATGTGGAAATTATATTCAAGCTTACTTTAGTCTTTAGTTAACAGTTGCTTATAGAGGAATTTTATTGTTGCAATATCCATTTCAAACTTGATTGATGTATTTTTATTTCCTTTGCACAAATGTGGCAGTATGTGAAAAGGATTTTTTTTCTGCTTCATTATCAAAATAAAAGAATGTTTACTTCCTCCCCAGGTATCTGATGATGATTCATATGCCAGTGATATAAGTGATAATATTTCCGAAGACAACCTAAGTAACGACATAGAGAATGAAAGGCAAACACTTGGTAGGCGTCTTTATTTATTTCTGGTCTCTGATTTGTTTTTAATTTTGAACTACCAATAATTAGTAACCTAGAAACATGCAGATTAAGTTCAGGATTCAGTTTTAAAAATTGCTTTCTGCAGTTCTGATACTATGTACAGTGATATCCAAAGAAGGAATAACTCACATTTTAATGTGTAGCCTTCCAGTGTTCTCTTCCACCTCTGATGATGTTCTATCTTCTTTCTCTCTTACACACCTTCCCCTATGTTGAATATTGTATAATATATGACTTGGGGGATAAAAGTTCTCCTCCTGTGAAGTTTTACCAATCCAAGTCATTGCCAATATCTTGCAGTGTATAAATAATCAAATTCTGGCAAAAGATTTTAAAAAAGGAGCCCCCGCCCACCACTTTTGCTATTTACAATCCAGATTTTTTTACTTCTAGTAAAGATCTCTTTTTTTTTTTGAAATTTTTTTATTATTTTTTAAAACAAAAATATAAAATACATCTTTTGAGAATAAAGAATTGATCCAGTCAAGAATAGGTACAATCGCTTTCTCCTCTTTATCAAGCTCTTTCCCAAATCTCCACCATTACATCTTTCAAAATAAAAACCAAAACAAAAAATTTTCCCCACAATTATAATATCTTAATCTAAACATTTACCATTCTATTATATCACCACAATCTTAGTTTCCAAATAACACAACTCAATATTTAATTACAATTATTTACCCTAAATTCTATCTAAATGCCCATCCTATGACCCTTTACATTAAATCTTTAAATCCTAACCTCTTTTAACTAACACCTATATTTCTTAGGCTTATCTCACATTATATTTCATTGTACACAGAATCATTTCATTATTACCATATTTTCCGGCGTATAAGACGACTTTTTAACACATGAAAATCTTCTCAAAAGTCGGGGGTCGTCTTATACGCCGGGTGTAGTACTCCTGTAACCAGGCAGACCAGCCCGAAAGACTCTTGACAAGCCTTAAATGGCTCTGGCGATCCCAGCTCTGGCGATCCCAGCTGAGTTCCCTGCAACTCAGCTGGGATCGCCAGAAACCACGTAAAAGGAAAAAAGTTTTTTCCCTTTTACTCTGAGGATCCCAGCTCTGACGATCCCAGCTGAGTTCCCTGCAACTCAGTTGGGATCGCCAGAAACCACGTAAAAGGAAAAAAGTTTTTTCCTTTTTACTCTGACGATCCCAGCTCTGACGATCCCAGCTGAGTTCCCTGCAACTCAGCTGGGATCGCCAGAAACCACGTAAAAGGGAAAAAGTTTCCCCCCTCCAGCTTGCTTACCTCAGCTGCTAGTCGCAACGCTTGCCTTGCTTTGCTTGCCTGAATCTATTCAGGCAACAAGCAACTCCCTGCCTGCAATCAAGCAAGGAGTTAGTTGTGGACTTCAACTCCCAGAATTCCTCAGCCAGCAAAGCAAAACTGGCTGAGGAATTCTGGGAGTTGAAGTCTACAAGTCTTAAAGTTGCCAAGGTTGGAGACCCCTGTTCTATTGGGTAAGTTTTTTTCCCCTTTGGGAGCTTTAAAAAAATAGTCAATTGGGGTTTTTTTAGTTGTTCTTTTTTAGACCTAGCCATTTAAAGTTTAGGAAGTTTTAAATTTAGCTTTCATATAAAAATAAAAATAAAATAAAATAAAACAATATTTGTGCAGCTTTCTGAGATTTAGTGTGTTTCTGTAGTGTTTCACTCCAACTACACAAACACACAAAATCTCACAAAGCTGTATGTGGAATTTTGTGTGTGTAAAGTGTGAAAGTTGGTTTTTTGGACTTTTTGTGGCTGCGTGAGGTTCCTGCTTGTTGCAGGGGCCATTTTGGGTCTAGCACAGCAGCTTTTACATTGTGGGTGAGCCAGTTGTGTTGTGTTGTGTGTGTTTAGAGTGTGAAAGTTTTTTGGGGGGGGCTTTTTGTGGCTGTGTGAGGTTCCTGCTTGTTACAGGGGCCATTTTGGGTCTAGCACAGCTGCTTTTACATTGTAGGTGAGCCAGTTGATGTTTTTTAATTTTTATTTGGTGTGCATTGGAAGAGGGGCAGTCTTATATGGCGAGTATAGCCCAAACCCTATATTTTAACAAGAAAAGTTGGGGGTCGTCTTATACGCCCAGTCGTCTTATACGCCGGAAAATACGGTACAGTCTTATCATCTTCATTTTGTTATTCATATCAAGATAGTCACCTTTATTTTGATGCTAATCCCAACATAATCATTTTATTATTACTATCAATTCCAATTTAAATTATGTTTATTTTAACTATCCCTTAATCATTTTCTTTTGGCTGTTTTCCAGCATATCCAACTTTATTTTACCTTCATACCCAGTATATTATTATTATAATTATAATTATTATAATTTTATTTCTATACCGCCCTTCTCCTGCGGGACTCAGGGTGGTGTACAGCCAAGATAAAACATTGCATATAAAATTTAAAAACAATTTAAAAAACAATTAAATAATTTCGGCCCAAAATATTAAAAACAGCCCAATTAAAACCAAATTCAATTAAAACTGAGAGGATGGGATCAAGCCAGCCCAGCTAGATGGAATAGGTGTGTTTTCAGGGCCCGACGAAAAGTCCGGAGGTCTGATATCGTGCGTATCTCAGGGGGTAGGTCATTCCAGAGGGCGGGTGCTGCCACAGAGAAGGCTCTCCCCCTGGGGGTCGCCAGCTGACACTGTCTGGCCGACGGCACCCTGAGGAAGCCCTCTCTGTGCGAGCGAACTAGTTGGTGGGAGGCTATTGGCGGCAGAAGGCGGTCTTGCAGATAACCCGGCCCTAAGCCATGGAGCGCTTTAAAGGTGGTCACCAACACCTTGAAGCGCACCCGGAAGACCACAGGAAGCCAGTGCAGCTTGCGCAGGAGAGGTGTCATATGTGAGCGCCCTGTCGCTCCCATAATCCCCCACGCGGCCGCATTCCGGACTAACTGTAGCCTCCGGGTGCACCCCAAGGGGAGCCCCTTGTAGAGAGCATTGCAGTAGTCCAGGTGGGAAGTGACAAGTGCTTGAGTGACCATGCGTAGGGAGTCCTGATCCAGAAAGGGGCGCAACTGGCGTATCAGGCGAACCTGATAAAAAGCCCCCCTGGCCACGGCCATCATGTGCTCTTCTAAAGACAGCCATGGATCCAGGAGGATGCCTAAGTTGCGAGCCCTCTCCGTGGGGGCCAGTGATTCGCCCCCAATAGCCAGCGATGGCACCAGCTGGCTATATTGGGACGCCGGAAGCCACAGCCACTCGGTCTTGGAAGGGTTGAGTCGGAGCCTGTTTCTTCCCATCCAGGCCCGCACGGCCTCTAGACACTGGGACATCACTTCAAGGGCATCGTTGGGGTGGCCTGGGGTGGAGATGTACAGCTGAGTATCGTCAGCGTACTGATGGAACTCCACCCCAAAGCCACGGATGATCTCACCCAGCGGCTTTACATAAATGTTGAACAGAAGGGGCGAGAGGACTGACCCTTGTGGCACCTCACACTCAAGGCGCCTCGGGGTCGACCGCTGCCCCCCTGTCAACACAGATTGCGACCGGTCAGAGAGGTAGGAGGAGAACCACCGCAAAACGGTGCCCCCCACCCCCAACCCCTTCAACTGGTGCAACATGATACCATGGTCGATGGTATCAAAAGCCGCTGAGAGATCTAACAGGACCAGGATAGAGGAGCAACCCCTATTCCGAGCCCTCCAGAGATCATCCACCAACGCGACCAATGCCATTTCTGTGCTGTACCCAGGTCGGAAGCCGGACTGGAGCGGGTCTAGATAGACAGCTTCATCCAGGTACCGGGGAAGTTGCCGCGCCACCACACTCTCAACAACCTTCGCAACAAAGCGAAGGTTGGAGACTGGACGATAGTTAGCCAATACAGCCGGATCCAGAGAAGACTTCTTGAGGAGGGGCCTCACCACCGCTTCTTTCAAAACGGCCGGCAGAACCCCCTCACTCAAAGAAGTGTTAACAATCTTCTGGAGCCAGCCTCGTGTAACCTCCCGGGAAGCCAGTACCAACCAGGAGGGACACGGGTCCCATAAACATGTGGTCGCGTTCAGCCGTCCAGGATCCTGTCCACGTCCTCGGGAGCCACAGGATCGAACTCCTCCCAGATAACACTCTCAAGACCTGCCTCAGTCATCCCGTCCGGACTTACCCAGTCAGAGGCCAGGCCTTCCCGAATCTGAGCGATCTTGTCATACAGATACTGCACAAAATCCTCAGCTTGACCCTGCAAGGGATCATCCGGCGCTTCCTGATGGAGGAGGGAGCGGGTCACCCTAAACAGGGCGGCCGGGCGATTATCTGTTGACGCGATAAGAGCGGCAAAATAACTAGATTTCGCCGCTTTTATCGCCACTAGGTAGGTCTTAATATGAGACCTCACCAGTGTTCGGTCGGATTCGGAGCGGCTAGTCCTCCAACTACTCTCCAGGCGTCGTTTCCGGTGCTTCAACTCCCGCAGCTCCTCGGAGAACCAAGGAGCTAGGTGAGTTCGGTGCCGGGTCAGAGGCCGCAAAGGCACGACGCGGTCCAAAGCCCCGGCGGCCGCACTATCCCAGGCGGCCACCAGGTCATCAGCCGAGTCGTGAGCCAGAGTCTCAGGAAATGGCCCAAGCTGCATCTGGAACCTATCAGGATCCATCAGGCGCCTGGGGCAGAACCACCTGGTCGGCTCCGCCTCCCTGCAGTGGGGTGTAGCGGTTAGAAAGTCCAGTCGAAGGAGCGAGTGGTCAGACCATGACAAGGGTTCGATGACTATATCTCCTGTATCAAGGCCACTCGACCACTGACCAGAGACAAAAACTAAGTCCAGAGTGTGTCCACCCGTGTGAGTAGGGTCATGAATTAACTGAGTAAGGTCCATGGCCGTCATGGAAGCCATGAACTCTCGAGCCACCTCAGACGTTTCGCCGACAGATGGCAGGTTGAAATCCCCCATGACTAGAAGTCTGGGGGTACCATCTATTGTTTTGACTGTTTCCCAGCATATTCATCTATAATTTGGCTGTTTCCAGCATATTCATTAAACATATTCTTAGTTTTTCTGTTTAATCTCCTATTTTATTTTATCTTCAATCTATACATTAGTTCTGTATATTTAATCTTATTATCATTCTCAGCTTTGTTTATAATTTAACATTGAGGCTTAATTCTTACATCAAACATATCCACATTATAAATCAATAAAATTTCTTGGGGTTTTCTCATATTCATATATATATTCATATTCATCTATAAGAAACTCCTTTCTATCAATACTATCCATCTTTACTTCATTTTTCTATTTTAATCACTTTATTTTATTTTACATCCTTATATATCTCTAAACACCTCCTTTTATAATTAATATTGATCTAAACAATACAGTTTCATTTTTTACTCAAACTATTTTTATATTCTTCTTTCCAGACGTGTATATTTTAATTCTTCATTTCCTTGTCTATTAACTTATAATCCATTTTGAATTCAATGTTCCCAAAGTTAATTCTTCATATGTCATTTTAGTTCTTTTTGTTGCTTCTATTCCTGCAAAGTACAGGAATAGTCCTTCTTTTGTTCCTGCGCCATTTGACTTCTTTTGTTCATGCGCCAATTAATATCAATTATAAAAGTTCTGTTGTATTTCCTCTTTCTTTCCACCAAAAAAGCTGTCTGTAAACAAAGAAGAAACTTCCACCACCAATATCTCACAGCTATTATCAGTAATTTCACAATGCTCTAAAACAAACGGCTAATTAGTGTTTCTTTTTAAAGCAGAAGGTGTTGCTCTGCAATCCACACTTTCCCTTAGTCACGCCAGTCTCCATTTTGTTGTGATTATATAACAGTCCAATTTAACACTCTTCTTCTTTTGAGTTTTAAAAGTATTAAGTTCCTTTTTCTTTTTTTCTTTTCTTTTTTTTCCCCCCAAGTCCAATTCTAATTTAAAAAGTTCTTTCCAGGCTTTTTAACATGCCTCAATGTTTAGTTGTTCCAATTAATTCAGTACCAAAATAATTTTCCTTGCAGGTCTTTTCCTTCTAAAGTCACTTTTCAAAATCTTCTATACCCCTCAAATCCACAGCTGCTGTTTTAAGGCTAGGGGTCTTACAAATAACAATCATTGCTCAAGCGTTGTTTCCAGCCTAGATTTGTGTCACTTACCCAGCTTCAAAGAGCTTCGTTCTTTTTCACTCTCCTCCTGCACATCTCTTAGTTCAGTTCATCCCAGCTTCGTGGCAACCGCCACGGCTGCCGCCCCCCACCGCCGACTCACAGAGAGTTCCCTCTGAGGAACTTGCCTGTTCTTCTTGGTCGTCCGAGGCACCTCTCTTCCTACCCCGTCCCTGCAGGACGGTTCTGGTCCGAAGACCCATTGGCGGTGGTTTGGCAGTCGGGTTTTTCGCGGGACTCCACAGAGCCCACTGTTTTCTCGGGTGTCTCACCGCGACGTCAAACCGGATGTCCGTAGCAAAGATCTCTTGTTCTGCCTACTGGGGGTGCTCTATTTTTTTCATGAAGAAAGTGTAGAACTAGGGAAATGCAGATTTTAGCAAACAGATTTAAGCATAATTATAGGGATAGAGGTAAAGATTATCTTTGTTTTTTTATGCTTCTTTCTCTTTAAACTCACCTAGCATTGTCAATATGGAGAGAATAGACAAAGTCCATTTATGTAAATAAGACCTTTTTAAATAAATAGTTGTAAAATGAGCGGGAGGGGTATGCATGAATGGGATGGTTGCATATATAGATAGCTATGTGAATGAGTAAGATAATTTTTATTGTATTAGAAATGTAGTTTTGGTATCGCTCACCAATTGCATGAACTCTTTGGAAACTTACCTGGAAGAGAATGAAAGTGACTGACTGAAACAGATTCTATCTCTGAATGAAGTAGTTGATTTTGGAAGCCAGGAAGCCCAGAGTTATTAAATTTTGGGTTGTCCTTGATCAAATCTCCATGGTTCAGCACAATATTCTTCTCAAAGCTATATGTAACTGTATCTTCTATTCTGAGAAGTTTAGAGGAAATTATAGAACAGAGTGAATTCCGAAAAATATTAAATTGCTAAACTTAAACCTGACATCTGTCTTCAAGATTGTGTCCCAGATGGTATTGTGGAATGCCATTCAAGGAGGAGGACACGTTTACCAGCCTCATGCCCCAATACAAGTAACATCAGCCTCTGGAACATTCTACGGAATAATATAGGAAAAGATCTCTCCAAGGTGTCAATGCCTGTTGGGCTGAATGAACCTTTGAACACTTTGCAAAAGCTTTGTGAGGAACTGGAATATAGTGAATTGCTGGATAAGGCAGCATTTACACCTAATCCCTTTGAAAGGATGGTAAGGAGAAATATACTATACTGAAAATGAGAAAATTATTTACTTACTTTGTATTATTTTACATTATAAATTATATTACAACTTTACTTATTTGTTTACTGGCCACCCATCTTATATAACATACTTTTGGGCAGTTCACGATAGCATACAGAACAGCAATACACAGAAAAATAAAAACATTTCAAACAACCAAGGTGCCGTAACATTCCTAATCCAAATATACTTGTTCTGGGCTCAACAGAGGAAGATCATCTTCAGGAAAACGAGGGAAAACCAATACATATATTTCTATTGAATTTTTAAATAATCTTAATAGTCAAATTGACTATTAAAATCAAACTTAGCCATGTGCTTGAATTTCAAATTCAAATAGAAATACAAATTCCAAATGGATCTTGACTGACTTGAATATACTGACCTGTCAATCTTTCTTCCCCTTTCTCATTACACTGACACAGCTGAACAATGAAAATGGGGATAGTTGGGCAAACATCATTCCATGAAAGCTGGTTCATACAAAACCTTCCTATAGATTTTTCAGATATGGCCATCAAAATATAGGGAAAACAATGTACTTAGAAAGATTGCAATTATTGCCCCTTCAGTTAGGGAAAAAAATCTTTATCATTGCTCATAGATGCAACTCAAAGAAGGAAAATGTTAAAGCATAACTGCATTCAAGAACACATTAGCTTATAGGAGGTATGGATCTTGATGTAATGTCAAATGTCAAATTCCCATTAAAAAATTAAACAACATTAAAAATCTGCATACCTTTCCATAATGATCTACTTAATGTTACTAATTGTGTTCTTAGGTTTATGTGTCTGCTTTTGCAGTCTCTGCCTATGCATCTAGCTACTACAGAGCTGGAAGCAAGCCATTCAATCCTGTGCTTGGAGAAACCTATGAATGTATCCGTGAAGATAAGGGTTTCCAATTTTTTTCTGAACAGGTAATGCAATTTTATCATGATACAGTTTGAATAAACTTCAAATGATCTAGTTACAGGCTTTCCAATTTTATTTTCCCATTTCATTTCATGTTCCTACAACTTAAATTCAAACTTGCAAAGAAGATAACATAGTGTAGTTAACTATTGGAGAGCCAATGCTAAATATATAAAAAATGGAGCATAACATTGTTTGGCTCGGTGGAGATTCTGCAGTTCATGAAATTGTTGTTGGGGGTCAAGAAAGTTATGAAGACAGCAAGACAAAAAGAGAATTTTAAGGAAAGTTATTGGAAGAAATGAAAATGTTACTGGTTCTGATTTGTTATATTCTCCATATATAAAAGTTTTCTGCTTTTCAGGGCCAAAGAAACAAAACAAAAAAGCAAAGCTATTTTCTGCCTTCCCTATTTCAGTTATCGTGAGAACGAAGTGGCTCTAGTCTCTATTACCTTAAAAGTTGTTAGTAGGACCAGGGGTGAAATCCACTTACCTTCGCTACTGGTTCGCAAATGTGAGCGTTTGCGCATGCTACGCTCACGCGTCCATGCACAGAGGGTAAAAAATGGGACGTGATGATGTCCGGGTGGGTGGGCGGAGCCTCCCACCGCTGGCACTACTGGTTCGCCTGAGCCAGATAGAACTGGCTGAATTTCATCACTTAGTAGGACACATCCTCTATGTAGTTCTTACATGAACATATTTTTCCTAATGGGAAATACTATTCCCATCCCATAGCAACCTGCCTATGTGTTAAATATTTCATATCTGATATGCCCTTCAGGTGTCATACTATGTAAAGCGATCCAACAGAGATAGGAGTGTGTCCTTTGTGATTTTGAAACCATGTACAGTAGAATTCTGTACTCAAGCAGACTTGCTTTGTATCAACTTAATTGCTTTTTTTCATCTAGAAAGATTTTTTTTTAATTGCTCTAATTTTTTTAACATGACGGGGTTGTGTTAGCTGGTGAGTAATTTTTAGAAACAAAATTCAGTTCCAGATGTTTGATGTTTATCGTTGTTATTCTGAACTGTCCTAGGAAGATTTGTATTGAACAGTGATATATATATATTTTGGAATTGATTCTGAAAAAATGGGAAGATGCAGGAATGTGAACGTAGTAGTCATGGGGAAGAGACAGACCTGCTTTATAGACAGGAGCAGACACCCCATGCTCCAAAGGAGCAAACTCCCCATGCTCCAAAGCACTATCCAGCCTTCATATATAATTTTAGAAAACAATAAATTCATTGGAACTTACTGCCAAGTCAGCCGTAGCTGTTTTATTGCATTTCGTAGAATTGTTTAAAACATTTAATTTCAGTCTATTTGGAAAATGAAATTTCACAATGCATCCCATTTGAAGTATAAAACTGATGTTTTTCTTGGTGCAAGAGGCAATCTATCCTAGTTGTGGGGAAGGTGGGAAAGAAATATTTCAAAGAGATTTTAGCTTAAATGGTTTACTGTAAGTCTATCTAGGAACGAACTACTGTATTTTTCAGCGTTATGTGTTTGTACCCCTGAATAGCATTAAAGAAATCCATGAAGACTTGCTCCTTAAGTCTGTCAAATATTTGGAGCTAACTTTCATGTATCTTTGTAGTATTTGCTGACTTGAAATTTAAAATTTCTGATTGTTACAGTAATTACTGAAATTGAAATTCTATTAAGAATACAATTAATAAAACTAGTGATACAAGAAATAAGTGGATATTTCTAATTAAATTTAATATTTTAATATTCAATACCTGTATTACATTTCTATAGTCCTACTATAGAAGTGTTCAAGCTAGCACAAGAAAGTTGCATTTGATTAAACAGTTTTTGCACAATGATTGGGATATGGATTGTAGATTGCACATTGACATTTGCACAGATGTATAGCATCTTGCAGTTGCTTGAAGTTTATGAAAAGTAAAGCCCATCATCCGAGCCTTGGCAATTCAGATTGTGTTTAGGGATTACATACAAGGCAAAACCAGATTTCTGTCAGGGGCAGAATAGCTCCTTTATTCTTTGGTCCACAAGTGATGTGAATGATTCAGTCAAGAGATTATGAAAAACCATTTTAAAGGCAATAGATTTTCCCAGATGTCTATCAGTCATCCAGGTCATGGTTGTCTGAAAGGTGCTCTTTTTGAAGAGGCAACTGGACTTTCTGGTTTTTCTTTGAAGACGTTTTGCTTCTCATCCAAGAAGCTTCTTGGATGAGAAGCAAAACAACTTCAAAGAAAAACCAGAAAGTCCAGTTGCTTCTTGAAAAAGTACCTTTAGGATCTTTCCAGATGATATCAATATAAATAATGGTGAACTTGGTATGTCTTCTGGGTAAAGGATATTAATTTTTAATCCTTTTGAAAAAATGTCAGTAATAATAATATCAATATTTCTTCAAATAATTATTTTAGCATTAATTCCTGAAATTAGATATGTTTATGTTCCCATGTAAATACTTAATGCTTTTTTAAAATAATCAGTAAATTTGCTTGGAAAAGAGGAAAAAATAAAAATTTGGAAATTTTATGAAGACACTTTCTGGCATTTTAATGATTGTACATAAAGGATGCAAAATATCCAACCTGACTCCATAACTCAGTCGCCAAGAGGATATTGTTTGCATGAAAGTCAGGAACACAAGAACTAGAAAAATCTTATTGCTGGAAAAGTCTGTAAGAATAAGTTTGAGAACAACATGTATTTGCTTTTAACAAAAAGTAGACCCTTTTGTCCAAAGCCCATGACTTATCTGGTACTTTGTAACATGGTTTTATACAAATCTTAAAAAATTTGAAGTATGAATCTTAGCTGTATTTTTTTATTTGTTTTGTTTTCCCCACTTATATTTTCCTATAGCTTGGATTTTATTTAATAAAGGTTTTTTTAATTCACAGTTCACCTAATATATAATTTTATATAAAAGATTTTTTCAAACACAGTTTCTAGCAAGTCAAATCAAAATTCATTATAGACTTCTTTTGTTTCCTGGGCCTTTTTCCTACCATTTCACTGAATCCTTAACCTATTTTATTCAGAAGAAAATATATCTAACTTTAATGTAATTTCCATTATTTGTTTTAAATTTTTTGCACTAATTTATTAATGGATGATTTTTATTTTAATAGCTCCCCCTTGTGGGGTATCTTTTCTTCAAAGGAAAATGAAGCCATTTCAAAAATAAATGAGAACAGAAAGTAAGGTTCTTAATGTAATTGTAACCTTACCTTCCTTTCCTGTTAGGTCAGTCATCACCCAGCTATATCTGCATGTCATGCTGAATCTGATAACTTTATATTTTGGCAAGGTAACTAATTAATTTATATCATCAATTTTTGGAATGCAAGAACAAAGGAGGAAGATGTTTGAGTGGCATTATAATAATTTGGATAATAACCCAACTTTCTATTGAGACTTTAGAATGCAGTTTTCCCCAAAACTGTGGAACCTATTTTGGGATCAACATGAAACCTTCAAAGTAGGATGGAAGTTTCTGAGAAAATAACATTGGCTGTCATGCACCACCCTCCACAAAGAGAATGTCCAAAGGGTCCCGCTATATTCAGCAGAGTTACTTTGAAGTCAGATTAGTTTAGGGAAGCAACCTAAGTAAATACATCTGCCCTAGTTGTCATTTCTATATTTTTTAATCTTATTACCATAGTGATGTTGCTTATTTTATTGATATTAAGTTTGAATGGGATTTGCACTTTCGGTTTTTACTTCAATTGTAAAATACTGTGACTTAATTTAATAGTATACAACTTAGAACATAATAAACAAATGTTATTGTCAACAGGATGAATCCCATCATGTTTCCATAATAGTTACATCTACCCTGTTTTCCCCAAAATAAGACATCCCCTGATAATAAGCCCAATCAGACTTTTGAGCGCATGGCAATAAGGCCAAGCGCTTATTTCAGGGTTCAAAAAAATATAAGTCAGGGTCTTATTTTCGGGAAAACACGGGTATGTTCAGCTCTGCTGAAAACATAAAAATTGGATAATACATTATTATGGTTTTATATGTTTAACAGCACTGTTGTAACCTTAAAGGTTGGATGTTATGATATTATTTTGATAGTTTAGGGCTTATAAACTGATCGAAAAAGCTTAACTATAGACAGAGCTCCATCAAATATTAAGGATTTGTTTAATTTTGTTGTTGATTATTTTTGTTTAATTTCAGATATCAGATGGAAAAATAAATTCTGGGGAAAATCCATTGAAATAGTACCAATTGGCACAACACATGTAATTTTGCCAGGGTAAGTTTTCCAGTAGCAAGCATGATAGTTGGATTGCTAGCAAGATCACATTTTACAACTCAGTAGTTCTTAAGCCTCATTTTTCACTTTCTTTGGCCTAATAAAACATAAATTATAGGAACTGAATTTTCCATATAGATTTTCTCATGTTGATAAAATAATCTTTTCTGTGACTTGTTTTCTATTAATCAGACAGTTAATGTGAGCTAATTTTGTGGCACTTAAATTTTAAGTTATTTTTTTTCCATTTTAGCATTTGCTTAAAGACCTATATTCTTGATTACATAGGATTATTATAATTGCTTTATGGAGAATTAGTGAAAGAGCAGTATTTTTAAAGAACTTAAGATTTAGCTGCTTTTTTAGTTCAGTAAGTCATTTAGTAAGTCAGTATTTTTCTCAGGAATATTGAAGGGGTGGTCACATTGTGCAAAGCCATAATTTGCTTAACCCTTGTTTATTTATTTATTAATGTATTGAATAAACTGACACTGGATGAATTTATGCTGTTTAAGTGATAAACACATATTTTATAAAACACAGTAGCTGGATTCACATACAGTACTATGTGCTAAGTCATAATGCTACAAAGCACCATATGGTTTAGAATATGACAAGCAAGCATTATCTCAGTTTAGACTGTTTCTCTAAAAGGATCAAATCACAATATTTTATTGAGTATTTTAGAAAAATACTTCATTAGCTATCTTTTTCTTTCATGATGTGCTAATAATTCTTCATTTTACTCCAGTTTTAAGGACCATTATGAATGGAATAAAGTAACATCTTGCATTCATAATATTTTAAATGGACAACGATGGATAGAACACTATGGAGAGATTATAATCAAGAATCTGAATGATGATAGCTGTCACTGCAAACTTACTTTTGTAAAGGTAATTGAGACTTATTTTGGTTTTTATCTTCTCTTCTATTTTGTTTTGAACTTTTAACATGATGCTGATTTTGCTAATTTTTCTCCAGACTAAATATTGGAATCGCAGTGTTCATGATATTGAAGGCAATGTTTTGGACAAAAATGGAAAAGTAGTACATCGACTTTTTGGAAAATGGCATGAAAATATTTATTGCGGAACACCATCTTCACCAAACTGCATCTGGAGAGCAAGTTAGTGACTGATCAGCCATTTAATTTGATATATTGTTGTTGTTGTTATTTATTATAGTTTGTTGCACTGTCAGAAGTTCAGACTGCATTTGGCATTTTTGTCTACCTAATTAGCCCTTTCCAAGGACCTGAGATAGGCAGATATGGATGTTTGATGGTGTTACAGATTTCATTGCAGGACGTAAGATGATCAGAATAAAGCCACCTTTTGCAATTGATTGATGATGAATTTGTGAATGTCAGTGGTATTCAAGTGGTGCTTCAGTTGTTTTGGGATTGCATGAAAGGCACCTAGTAATATTGGTACTACCTTTGCTTGCTTTTGCCACAGTCGTTCTATTTCTGTTTGCAGGTCTTTGTATTTTGTTATCTTCTCCAGTTCTTTTTCTTCTATTTTGCTGTCTCCAGATACTGCCACGTGCACTAGCCAGACTTTTTTGTCTTTCTTAATGACAGTTGTTAAGTCTGGGATGTTGTGCGACAGGTGTCTGTTTGTTTCAATTCTAAAGTCGTAAAGCAATTTAGCTTCTTCATTTTCTATTACTTTCTCTATTTTATGGTCCCAGCTGATCTTGCTTGCAGGCAAATGATATTTCTTGCCAGTGTTCCAGTGCACTATTGTTGCTATATGTCATGCTGTTGCTTGTAGTCAGTCTGAGCAATCTTCTTGCAGCAGCTAATCAGGTAGTCTGCTGTTTCTTCAGCTTCTTTTCAGAGACAGCATTTACTATCTGATGCTGTCTTCTCAATTTTGTCTTTGTATGCATTTATTCTTAAACTTGGTCTTGTGCAGCCAGAATTAGCCCCCCTGTCTCTTTCTTCAACTTTCCTGCTCTTAGCCATTGCCAGCTCTTTTTATTATCTGTTTTCCCTGCTGTTTCTTAATGCACTTGCCATGTAATGCTTTGTCTTCCCACATCTCCATTCTGTTTTTCATTTGGTCTTTCTTGTGGCCAGTTTGGTCTCTCCTATAGTCAGTAAGCCTTCCTGGTATTGTACCTTCAGCGCATTTTCTTCACTGTCACAAAGGACAGTTTGTCACTATCACATGACATGTGACACTGTCACATTTTCTTCCAATGCCCCTTTTTTTTTCTTCAACCATGTCAGATGTACTTGCAATATTCCATGTCTGCCTTTTTTCTTTGGTAAATAGAGTCTGTCAATGTCACTGCGAGGATGAAGGGCATGATTCATTGTCATTATTTTTCTGGTTTTCCTATCCAATCGACTCTATTTCAAATGTTTTTCCATAAAATTTTAGATTGTCCATGCAAATGAGGTGAGTCTGCAGATGTTTTTGATATTTGATAGCCATGAGTTATTCAGCATTGATGACAGAGAAATCAATGCAATGACAAACAGTAATCGTAATACTGAATCTCCTTGAAATATTCCTCTCTTAATATTAATCTGTCTCATTCTCTCACCATTGACCTGCAACTGTGTCTTCCATTGGGCCACTGATCTGTGCACTAAGCTTCTGATGTTTTATTGACTCCTGTTATTTCTAGGCATTTGATTATCCAATCATATGGCAAGAGAGTCAAATGCCTTTTTATAGTCAATCCATGCTACATTCAAGTTGGTCTTTGTTCTCTTGAAGTTTTCCAAAATCATTTTGTCAATTAGGTGTTCATCCTTTTTTCCTCTGATGTTTGGGTGGTTTCCTTTCTGCTAGGGTGTAAAAAGCTTATTTTCAACTAGATGCATTAGCTACCAGTCCAGTTAATAATTTGAAAGTTGTTGATAAGACGTTAATTAGCTTGTTGCCTGGTGCTGCCCCTTTTGCTGTTATCAGATAAGTTTGCCAGATGTTAACCACCTCCTTTCATTATATTGTTAAACTGCAAAAAGTGGGCATAGACCAGTCAGATGTTTCAACCAAAAGCCATGCAGTTCATCTTCACTTGGTGCTGACCAATACTTAAATTTCCTTGCTCTTTTCTCTACCGTTTCTATTGTTATTACAAGTTATTTCATTACAGCATCTTTTTTATTCTTATCTACCTCTTTTATCCAAGTGGTATCTTTGTTGTATTTCTTTGGATTATCCCATATCTTTGCCCCAAACTGCACTTATCAGGTACTTCCTTATCAGGTACTAACCGATACATTGCAGTTTTACCCATTAATGGATTGGTAGAAACATTTTTGATTAAATTGAATTTGGAGGTTCTGCCTTTAATTTGCAATTCAACCTTTGTATTTGCTGATCTTCTTGGCTACAGCTGTTATTTGCTTCTTTATTTCTTTGGTCTTCCTTTTTTTCTAAGTGTTATTTCTTGATTTAGTATTCTTTATTAGGTATTAATAAGTATTGGTATTAGAGATTAGTTTATAATTAGGTATTTATTATTATTGTTATTGTTAATTTTCAATTCGATTCACATTCTGGAATTGGTAAAAATGTAACAGTTCAAGTCCTAACCAAAGACCTAAGAGCTATTAAGGTAGCGTCTGAGTATATAGGCAGTTCCAAGAAGGGTGGGGTTTTTTTTTGCAAAGTCAGGATATGCAGGTCTAATAAGTTTAAATTTTCCATGTATCTAGGCAACACTTTGGGTATTTCTCCAAGGCTCCTATTACTATTGGTACAACCATTCATTTCTTCCTGCATAATCTATTACTATTATTCTTAATCTAATATTTCATTTTAGCAAATTTCTCTATAGTACTTTATAATATGGCACACTTAGTTTTATTGAACATTTTATTAATTAGTAAAAAACTGTTTAAATGGAACAAAATTAGGACTGCTGGATTCATTTTCTTAGAATAATATATTTTATAATCATAAATGTTAATTTTATCAAGGAAAGAACACTAATATTAACCATATTCAAAAATAAAACATTATTATAGGAAATAGGGTTTTTTTGTTCTCAATATTGTATGAATCCAGCCAGTGTATAATATACTTAGTAGATTTGGATGTTCAACTGTACAAATGGTCTTTGATTATATATATTGTCACTTACTTGTTTGAATGTATTTGACAATTCCTGCTAGGTTTTTCATGTGTATACGTGGCAGCCAGATATTCACACAAGACCCATTTTGTGCACACTCAAAATTATGACTGACCTACATGACATTCAATTTGCTTGTGTCTTATGTGTACAAGTGACAAAGGAAAAGAAATAATTAGTACATAAGTATACATTACAATTGCATTAAGCCATTAAAACAAATAATTACCAAATATTTTTACATTTATATAGATCTTCATTAAACCTTATGCAAACATTCAAGAAATCTTAAGTATCAAAAAAAAATAGTAACACTAAGTTTAAAGTACATCAAAAGCATAAAAATGCACATAAAATTTATGTTGCTGTTTTAACTGTTGCTGAGAGTAAGACAGTTTTCGAATTATTGCAACTAGTTTCAGACATAGAGTTTTAGAATTTGAAAGCTGAGGTACCAACACAAACACAAACCCCTTTGACATTTGTTAATGAATGTTTTTTTTAAAAAAAAACCTAAGACTATAATATTTTAATAATCATGAGGAAAAGGCATAATTTTTACCTAAGAATTTATTATGTTTTTCATTTGCAGATCCAATGCCTAAAGACTATGAACAATGGTATGGTTTCACACAGTTTGCATTAGAATTAAATGAATTCGAGTCCATCAGTAGACCACTGTTACCACCTACTGATACCCGATTTAGGCCAGATCAAAGGTAATATTTTTAACAAAATATATAAACAAAATGCACAAAGGTGTTATTATAGTCAAGACTTTTTCTTCATCAAAGAAAAGTTAGTTCATTCTAATGGTGGAAAAAGCACTGATGATTACTTGTCTCCAAAAAATTAGCAGTTATTGTTTTAATTAATCTTCACTTCTAGAATCATTCCACTAAATTTTCTCGTAGATAGCCATTTGTGCCCAAGTGGTCTGTGTAATATACACAGACTGAAGCAACACAATACAATAGAAGAATTACACAACCTTGGTATATATCAATATTGTTTGCTCATGTAATATTGCACTATAACAGGTTCTTAGAAGAAGGAAATATTGAAGGAGCAGAAATACAAAAACAAAGAATTGAAGAGCTGCAGAGAGCACGGAGGAAAGTTCTAGAAGAAAGCAATATAGAACATCATCCTAGATTTTTCAGGTAATTTATAAAATGACAGGTTAGTTTTTTTATTGAGTAACAATAAAATAAAAAGTTCTCATGTAATTCTGCTTCATGATGAGGACTTCTTTATTGAAGTTTTCTGGTTAGAACAGGCTATAGACATCAATTAAATAAAACAATGTTTTATCTCATAATAAAATGACAAAATTCCAAACAGAAGTATGTCAGAAACAGAATGAAATACAGATAGTTCTTAACTTACGATCAAAATTTAGCCCAAATTTCTGTTGCTAAGCAACATAGATGTTAATTTTACCCCATTGTATGACCTTTCTTGCCACAGTTATTAAGTGAATCACCGCAGCTGTTAAGTTAGTAACATGGTTGTTAAGTGAATCTGGCTTCCCCATTGACTTTTTTATCAGAAGGCTGCAAAAGATGATCACATGATTCTGAGGCATTGCAACCGTCATAAATATGAATCAGTTGCCAAGCATCTGAATTTTGATCATGTGACCATGTGGACTGCAACGGTCGTAAGTGTGAAAAATAGCCGTAAGTCACTTTTTTCAGTGCCATTGTAACTTCGAACCATTACTAAATGAACTGTTGTAAGTCAAGGACTACCTATAAGGAGTAAAGGGGAGGAATTCATGAGTAGAATATTGGGGAAAATACCTTGTTCTACACTCTCTGTTCAGAGATTTCTTTCTTTTATTATTTTGATACAAATTTTCCACTGTGTGACAGTTCTAAGAAGAAGTTAAAGTAGAATGAAGTGCAACAAAAATGATATAAATTTCGGTATCTCCTTTCCAGTAGGTATTAAATATACGTGACTCACCAGATATTGCTGAACTCCAACTGCTAATATCCTACTAGACACTCCATTACAGTGGTGGGTTGCGTAGCGGCAGTGGCGGGAGGCTCTGCCCATCTGCCCGTACGTCTCTGCGCATGCACAGAAGCTTCTGCACATGCACAGAAGCATCATGCGCACAAGCACACATGCGTCCACGAGCAAACCAGTAGTGATGGGATTTGAAACCTACTACTGCTCCATTACCTCTGTCTATTAGATAAATAAAAGCAGATGTGTTAGCCACAAAACAAAATTGCTTTCTTTACTATTTTACAGGAAATCTGCAGATGACTCTTGGGTAAGCAATGGAACTTACCTGGAACTTAGAAAAAACCCTGGATTTTCCATGCTGGATAATCCTGTGTTGTGGTGAAAAGAATCAAGTGAAGAGGACCTTTAACAATCCTTTTCTGTTTATAAGGAAGAAAATGCTGCATATAATTTTGTTCTTATAGACTATTACTTAAGACTTTGGCATGCATGTATATTTACTTCATTCTGTTTCTCTTCTATTTCAAAATTATTATTTTTTAAAAGTTATGAAAACTAATTTTCTTTATATATAAATTAATGATTACTAAATGTTATTTTTAAATGGAGACAAAAGAGAGATTAACACTATTTTTCCAAAGGATGCTGCAAGTAAGATTTAATGCCTTATAAAGTTGTGTGACAAATATTACGAGTCAGTAGCATTTAGCCGCACAAACACAAGCAAATAGCTGACACTGATTCCTCAGCAAGGCAGTACCAAAGCTGCTGTTTATTTATTATGTCTGAATTTAAACACTGGACTATTTTTCAACAGATTCGATACCTTAACATTGTATCTAATTAAAAAAAAAATCAAGAAATAATATAAGTGGTAGTAGTATTAGTAATGCTACTGCCTTATAAAAAAGATAAAGAACTTTGGGAAGTTCTCTTACGACTTGGTGAAATGAACTTAAAACTGTTGAAGAATTGAAGAGTTTAGCAGAACTTTAACAGAAGAGATTCCAAGAAAATTGTGTACCAAATTTTTATCATAGGATGTATATGGATAATGCTGTATAGAAAGCCGCTGCAACTCCTTTGAAAGAGATACTTTAAAAAGCATACAAAGCACCTCTTTAGAGTAGTTGTGTCTTTTTTCTTCTTCTTCTCAGCTTGTGTGGTTGCTTTGGGAAGTTGTTTCAAGCTGCCTTCATGTGCATGGATGCACAGACATTTTACTTCATATGGAGAGAGCCATGTAAGTGGAAAAAGGCATGGCTGCTTGAGTGATTCATCAGTACTTTCTATACACACACACACACACTCTCTCTCTCTCTCTCTCTCTCTCTCTCTCTCTCTCTCTCTCTTCTGAAAGTCTTAAAACTCTAAAAACATAGAAAAATACCTCCTCCATTCAATCCCATTCCTTGATGTTCTCGTTATGCTACTAGGCAGACTCCTGTGACTTTCCAGAAGCTCGGGAGATGAAATATATAAACCTGAACTTTCAAACAATGCTCCTATCTAATCTAGAACTTGGGTAAAAATGATCAAATGAAATAATCTGACATAAGTACTGACAGAACTTTTTAGATTCACTCTAGACTTTTCTCTTTAAAAAGTAATTAAGACAATATAAAAATCCTTCATTTTAACAATTTGCAAAGCAATTATGTTAAAAGACAAATGTTTTTCTAATACTATATTTTGGTATTTTCTACCTCTTCTAAATAGCTTGTTTAATATCTTGTATTTAAAAAAAAAACCATCTGCCTTAGATAAACATTTGAAAATATATGACCTTGCTTTAAATCTAGATATCAGTGTGATATCTGTCTTGTACTAAATGGTTACATGTTTTCCAGTATCTTGGTTTATATTGTAATATGTTCATTAACAGACTTAGCCAGTATCAGAAATAAACAAAAACAGCATTCTGGAATAAAATTGACCACCTTTTGTTTATTAAATTAATTTTATTTTAGTATCATACATGATATTTTAAAAATTATTGTCTCGACCCTGACGTTTTGTATACATTTTGTAGTCTGCAAACCAAGGAATAATGTTGGCATACAGTGCTGAATACTTTTGTTGGCAAAATATTTGTTACAATTTATCAATATGTAGGATAAATCCATTGATTTCAAATAATGCACAGAAAATTACTGCATTGCCCCAAACCATTTCTATGGAACACCTAGCTTGGGGCAAATGTCTCAGCCTTAATATTTGGAGAAAATAAGCAGGTGGAAGGTTTGTCTAGTATCTGACAATTTTGCACTGAGATTATCAGCAATTCTCTTTTTATAGCAGTAATCCAGATCATCTTATAACATTGGTACAGAAATAACTCGTACACAAATTCAGTTTCAAACAAAATGTGCCCAACTATTTTATTGGCTATAAACTACAGCAATGGAAAATCCATGTCTCTATAATCTCTTAAGGGCCTGCAGCCTACACACACATATGCACATGTGGATTAGGGACATAGGTTTGCCATCCATGTTGCAATTATAAGTAGTGCTTTGTTTTTGAGTATGCAACTGTTAATCTAAAATTAAAATGTGAAAATATAATATATTATACAAATACTTGAAACATTCACAAATACAAATTTTGAAAAAAAAAAGTTCTAAAACATGAAAAACTGAAATTTTGATTTGATCTTAAAATTATGAGACATTACAATATGAAATTCAAATTGGATTCTTAGAAATAGGAGAAACTACATTCTCAATTTTCTGAAGTTCAGAAATCTTGAAGTACGACATTTGAGATATGCATTTTGGTATAATAATTTAAAATTCAAAGAAATTGTTGGTAGAACATTTCATATTACTGGGACTACTATGAAAAAGAAAATCTTAAAAGGCATAACTGTACTTTCTTAACCAGACCATGAATCTGCAAGCAGCACTTAAAATGTTTGCATGTTCAGTGAGGCTCATTTGGGAGAATAAAATTATTATCTATGCCTCCAGGCAACTGGTTGACATATTTAAATGTTCAAAACTGCAAATTTGAAAAATTAGTTCACTTGAAATTTAGAAATAATTCAACGTTCTAATACTTCATCGATTTTTAATATTTTGGCCATTGTAGCATTCATTAGATGTACTTTATATCCACTTGTACTAATGATTCCTTCATGTGATATTGTTGCCAATTACTTGTGATTGAGTTTGTAGTGGTTATTCCAATCTTTAATAAATATTGAAGACATTATCTAAAATGAATGCTATTAAATAATTATTTAAACTGAAAGGCTGGATGAAAAACCTAAACAGCACAATTTTGCAAAAACAAAATAAGGGTCTATATGGTGGTAACGCAAGCTTGATCCTACACTCAGATCATGCCAAATAGCATGCCCAGATCTAAATGTGTCTTTCCTTTTTATGCTTGTCCTTTTAGCCAATACTTTTTGAAATCTAGAACACATAGGGACATTCCTAAGTTTGCTGCAGAGAGAACCCACCCCCTGACTCTGATGTCACTACCAACAACCTGGTGCTTGCATGCAACAAGCAGAGAACAAATTCAGTTCCTCTGCAGCCATTGAAAAGTAGCATTTCCTCCAATTGCACATTCACATTGAGAGTAAATGCAATTTCTTATGCATTCTCTACCCTAAATTTAGAGGGTGATTGTATGCTTCCTGTTTTTCTGCTCATTGTTTAGCTAGCATTAATTCCATTTCTGAAAACATCATTATTTAAAAAGGTGGAGCAAAAGCAGATTAGATATACAATTCCTTAGAAATTATTTGAAGCTTGCACAAGTGTGATTCACAAGGTTCAGAATCCTAACTTCAAAACCAGTCCTGCAAATAATACAGTAGTAATATACAGTATTGGCATACATGCTTCATTTTATTATTATTATTATTTTGTGGTATACATGCAGTTGTGTGTAATTCTTTTTTCCAAAATTTCATTGTTTCAGAACTATTAAGATATTTACTTTCTGAAAATAAACTTCAACGAAACAATATATTTTAAACTAAACATGCTTAGAAATGCTTGAGTAGCAGCAAAGCTGTTTCCTTTCAAAGTTAACAGTAGCACTCCACCATAAAATCAATAGTTAATGTTTTCTAAGTATCAAATTCTACACTAAATTGGTGCAATTTTCAAATCTGAGCACTTGCATTATTTTATGGATGGAATGATTTAAAATTAATTGTTTAAAATGGTTTCCACTTTAAACTCTTTGGACTGCAATGAGAATATTGCATTTCTTTTAAAATAGGATCATTTGGATGGAATAATTTTAACGTACATCAAACTCATTGGGCTGCACCTTGATTTTATTCATAGTTGAACAAATATCACTCTAATCTGAAAATTGGGTTAGTCATAACTCAATTCTATTGATTTCACTAAATCAATAGTGTAAGTTTGAATTACCGTATTTTTCGGACTATAAGACGCACCTAAATTTAGAAGAGGAAAATCAACAAAAAAAAGTTTTTGGCCTCCACACATCCCATTTTTGGGCCTTTTCCAGGGATTTCAGCAATATTCAGTCTATAAGAAGCACAGACATTTTTACCCCTTTTGGGAGACAAAAAAAAGTGTGCCTTATAGTCTAAAAAATTTGGTAATCTTGATAGGAACTGTCAAACTGCACTTCACCACAAAGAGTATTATTCTGAACCAGCAGTGAAATGCACTTACCTTCACTATCAGTTTGGAAATGTGTGTACTCGCGTGCGCCTCTTCTGCACATGTGCAGAGCTTTCTGCACATGTGCAGAGGGTCAAAAATGGAACGTAATGACATCTCAGTGGGTGGGCGGAGCCTCCCGCCGCCGGCCCTACCAGTTTGCACAAGCCGGATAGATCTGGGTGGATTTCACCGCTGTTCTGAATCATCTGTGTTCTGCATCCAAATAAAAACTTTCATATTTGGAATTGATGGAATTTTAACATACTGGATATGTAAAAGGTCCTTACATTTTATTTACTTAAATATTTATATTGTAGAAAATTAAATTACACAATGTAAGCAAATGAAGTGAGGTTTTCTAATTTAGATAATTTAGTAATGGCATTCTTGTACTTGGATTATTATTATTTTTTTTTTGACATCTATAAGTTTTAAAAGGGCCATTCAACTTGTGTGAAGAAGGTAGTGTATGATAAAATCTGCATCCATTTTAAGATTATAAATGAAGCAGAAAAAGAATGTAAATTAACTTTGGAATTTTCAGTAAACCGCAATCTTTATTAGTTTCTTCCTTAAAAAAATATTTTCAAGTTCTCATTCAAAGATCAACAAACCTATAGTTCTTCTTTCTCTATAATTACATTAGTTCTTATGTCGATTTCTGTTTTTAAATGTTTTAGAATCTTGTTAGGGTGAAGTATTTATCCCGTATCTCCTTAATTCTCATATATTCATGCATGCTTGATCCATTCTACTTCAATATTAATTGTTCAAATTAATATCATGCTATGTTGATTTTATATTGGGAGGATATTAACCTGTTGATGGATTATCTTGCGATTAAAAATAATCTCATTAATTGCTGCATCCTGTGATTTTTTTTAAGTTGCAGTTGTCTTCCAGGTTTTCTTATTATTCAATGAAAGAACTCCTGATCTGACAATAGATTTTATCTCTGTACCCATGTTGATTATTAATAAATATTTAACATCTCAAGAATTGTGTTGCATCTGATTTTTTTAAAAAACCATTCTTGGAAGTATGCTTTCAAGTGAACAGGACAGTTGGAGGCCTGATATAATACGCACATATCATTGTGTTCCCAACAAAAAATGCTTTGAAGTTTATATAATATCAGCTCACTCTACAAATTAATAAGAAAGAAATACCATGTTATAATACACACTGAACACTGACAGATCTCATATAGTGTAGGAATGTGCAGAGCTTTGTTATCTTACCAGCAAGCATAATTAAGTTGGAACATAGCTCCAAGTGAAAACTCAAATATTCTTATCTTGTTTAAGGTAAGATAAGCAAGCCTTTGATAAGGTAATAAAGATAGAACCATAAAAAAGTAATAGACTAATTTCTTAGAAACAGAACTTCCATGTCTAAGAGTCTACAATTTATTTATTTGTTTGTCAAACATGTACAAGATGACAAGTATGTTTTACTTAATTCTTGTATTACTAGTATTTTGTGAAACACCTAAAAAACAGTGTCTGTTGGATAATTATTTTGAATTTTGCTTTATAGTTCATGGTCTTAAAAGTGGGCAAATGTAGTCTATAAGTAAATAAGCAAATATATGCTAACAACTAAAGCTGGCACATACTAACCTAAATAAATGAGAAACATGAACTAGACCAACAGTCAACAACTGATGGTCCGTGGACCACTGGTGGTCCGTGAGAAAATTTTGTGGTCTGCAGAAAAATTATTTGCATTTTTTATTTTGCACTAAATCAGGGGTCCTCAAACTATGGCCCCTGGGACAGATACGTACAATGAACATTTATGTTGCTGCAGAGTGTCTCCCCCTTCGGGGTATTTTTGTGTGGTCAGAGGGGGACAGAAATTCTGACTTGGAGTCTGCTTCAGCCTCCTGGTGCAGGGCTTTGGCGAAGGCTGGAGGAAAGTGCTGCTGGTGGCAAAGAAGCGGACGGCCTTGTTCCAGTGGGACTGCATCATAGTCAGGAACTGGCTGACCATCTCAGCCCGCTGAGCCTCCAGGCGCCAGTACCTGGCCTTGCACTCCCGCAGGTCTTCACTCTGCTTGGAAAGCCTATGCTCTTAGTCCTCAGTGAGGTGCTTCTGCTGAGCCTCCTTCAGGGTCAGATCCAATTTGAACTGAGCCAGGTGTTTTGTCAACTCTTTCTCATGGTGACTGCTTAGTTCCAACAACTGCTTCCTGTTGGGGCCCTAAGGAGCCTGGGCAGAAAAGGGAGTGGCTAGGAAGGGAGGGGTGAGTAGAAGCGCTCCTCAATGTGAGTTGGCCACGCCCACCCAGTCATATGACCACCTAGCCACACCCACCCAGCCAGTCATTAGGCAGATCATATTAGTGGTCCGCGGGATTTAAAATTATGAATTTAGTGGTTCCTGAGGTCTGAAAGGTTGGTGACCCCTGAACTAGACAATCCATTTTTATGAATACAAAATTGTGCCTGTCTTTCTAGTACATTTTTATGTGGTTACCATTTTATGTGGCAGTGTAGGTTTATATTTCAGTATTAACACATACTGATGACTTCTTTGATTAAAAAAGATATCTATATTTTATTGGTACTGGAAAATCCTTAGGGATTTTGAAACTTGTAACCTATGGTTTTGATGATTAGAGAGAATAGAGTATAGGAAAAAGAATCATATTCTAGATAGGGTTTAAAGAATAATTATAACTTCTGTGAAGAACACTGGAATCTTGCTATTTTTCTTCATTGCCTTCTATTTTCTGTTTTTCATAAATGATTTAGATGGGATAGAAGGAAAACTCATCAAATTTGCATGAAATAAAGCTGGGAGGAATAACCAACACTTTGGAATATAGGCTGAAGATCCAGAAGAATCCTGACAGATTTGAACACTGGGCTCTAATCTACAAAAGACAATTCAGTGGTGAGAAAAATAAGGTTTTACGCTTAGGCAAGAAAAACCAAATGCACAGGTATAAAGTAGGTAGCACGTGGCTCAACAGCAGTAACTATGGCAGGGATCTAGAAGTCCTAATACACTACTAAAGTATGAGCCAGCAGTGTGCTACAGCTGATAAAAAGTCAATGCAGTCCTAGGGTGCATCAACAGAGGGATAGTATTAAGATGACATGGTGTTAGTACTGCTTTATACTACATTGGTGCTTGAACTACTGTGTCCTGTCACCATGATACAAAAAAGATACTGAGATTCTAGAAAGAGTGTAGAAAAGAGCAACAAAGATGATTAGAAGACTGGAGGCTGAGCTATATGATGACCAGTTATAGGAATGTCTAGCCCAACGACAACAGGTAGAGGTTACATGAAAGCAGTATTTCAATATTTGAGAGGCTGTCACAGAGAAGAGCGAGCCAACTTATTCTCCATAGCATCTGAGTGTAAAACAAAAGTAGTGGATGGAAACTTATCAGAGATCCAATCTAGAACTAAGGAGAAATTTCCTGACAGTGAGAACAATTAAATCAGTGGAATAGCTTGTCTCCAGAAGTTGGGGGTACTCTATCACTGGAAGTTTTTAAGAAGAGATTAGACAAAAGAGCTTTGGACTAGACCTCCATGGTCTCTTTGAACTTTTTTATTCTGTTATTCATCTGCTTTGCTGTGGCTTGTCTGGTCTATAGCTTCCTGGTTTATAGGTTTTTCATGAGGCCTGGGAGATACCAGTGGTTCTGGAATTCCACAGCCCTAAGCACAAACCACAATTTAATGTGACTGATACAATCAGAGGCCTTTCTATAATCAATGAAACACAAAGTGACCTTTATTTGGTACTCTGGCTTTCTCAAATATCTATGGTGCATTAGCAATCACTTCTCATTTCTCAACCAGCTTGAGCCTCTGCCATCTTCCTTTCTAACCCTCATCTATGTTGGTTAAACATTATTTTGCTACTTTAAATTAAGGATGCTATGTGATGGTTTACACTATTTCTTTATTTTATATTGTTGATATGTTGAGACGTTTTCTCATCTGCTGACAACTGTATAATTTTCCATATTTGCTGGCATAGGTTGATTAGAACTATAAGATTCTTCTATTAATTGGCACATTTCTAGATACTCAATCCATTCTTTAAATGTTCCAATTTTGTTAGAGTATTGATCTACCTTGATCTATTAGTACTACAGGTTCTTGTAAGTAAGGAACATGATGGCAGTGTTTTTTTAAAGTGTAGTCTGTGTAACCCTGGGGTCCACAAATTCCCTTTTAGGGGTCCACAAAATCAAATTATTTCACAGCCTGCATTGAAACATAATATATTAAAATTCTATCAAACAATTTTGAGAAGTGTAGTGATAGTGAATGAATCATCGTAATTCAGTAAATAATAAATATACCTCATGTAAACGAAACCCTCTTTTAGGTTCCCCCATAAGTAGGAATGGGTTCAGAGATATTTTTTAAAAACAAGTACTAATCGCCGGTATTCTGAATGTTATATATCTACCACACAGAACTTCAGATTAGTCCTTCCATTTTTTTCCTTTAATCAGTTGCAATCCATTGATGTTTTATTTATTTTATTTATTTATTTATTATTCAAATTTCTATACCGCCCTTCTCCTTTCGGACTCAGGGCGGTGAACAGCCAAAATAAAAACATTTATACATAAATACAATTAAAAATAGATTTAAAATAATTAAATTTGGCCCATAGTTTAAAATTTATCAATTTAAAATCCATATCAAAATTTAAAACCAACCATAAAATCATAAAATCAAGAGAGACCGGCTAACTGAAAGAGATGAGTTTTTAGGGCCCGACGAAAGGTCCGGAGGTCGGAGATCACTCGTATCTCTGGGGGTAGATTGTTCCAAAGGGTAGGTGCCACCACAGAGAAGGCTCTCCTCCTGGGGGTCGCCAGCCGGCATTGTCTAGCCGACGGCACCCTGAGGAGGCCCTCTCTGTGGGAGCGAACTGGCCGGTGGGAGGCTATTGGTGGCAGAAGGCGGTCCTGTAAGTACCCTGGCCCTAAACCATGGAGCGCTTTAAAGGTGATCACCAACACCTTGAAGCGCACCCAGAAGTCCACCGGAAGCCAATGCAGCTCGCGCAGGAGAGGAGTCACATGGGAGCGCCCAGTCGCTCCCATAATCCCCCGCGCGGCCGCATTCTGCACCAGTTGGAGCCTCCGGGTGTACCCCAAGGGGAGCCCCATGTGGAGAGCGTTACAATAGTCCAGACGAGAAGTGACGAGTGCTTGAGTGCTTTTAGTAGACCAGTTTAAGGTTGGAACCTCCTTCTGAGTTTCAAGATATCCAGGAAAACTCTTTTGTTTCCCTTTTTTGGTGTCCATTTTCAATGTGTTAGCAGATGTTGTAATACTGCTTCTTGTTTTTTCTAATACCTCTCTGTAAGTTTTTGCTAAGTTCTATTGTGAAATCTTAGCTTTTCTTGGATTTTGTTTCTATTCTTTGAATTTTTTACAACTTGTTCTGGCATTCCATTTGCTTTCTTCTGTATTTTGGTTATTGAAATTAATAAAGAAAAACAAGTATAATATCAAACAAATAGATGCAGCAGAGAGTCTTTATGAACTGTGTAATTCAAGTAATTGAAAAATATAATTCCAAGTTGCAGAACTGGAAGCACCCCGGCACTTGAATGCATGTAACCATGCTCTCCTTCCCTTGGTTCCCTGCATTCATACGCATCAACACCATCCTTTCCTAGACCTCTCTGAAGATGCACATACCCAAATCACAGTAACCCTTCCCCTCTTCACATGTATCCTGAATGTTTCTTCCAGGACTTCTTCACTCTGACTTCTCCCTACCCGGATTCCTGCCACTTCCTGCTTTACAACTTTCTAATCAATTTGAATCATTTAGTGTCGTTCTAAATTTATTATTAGAATCCAAAGATGCACATTATACTGCCACAGTCCACCATATATTGCTTTAATAAGATTTCTTAATAGATATTTTGAATCATCCCCAGTCAATCGTTCTAAGTGGAGTGGAAAAGGAACTAAAAAATTCTGACTAGCATCAGTTAGCC